TACGCACCTATTAGGCATATTTCACACATCATAAATTCCTCTGTACATTAGCACTGAAAACTTATTCTCGGGAGACGAATCGCGTACCTAGCGGCCGCGGCTGCTGCTGACGGCATGCCTCGACCGTGATGACTGTTCTGTTATGGACTTATTACTGCTGCGCAACAGCATAGTGTTTTCTACGCTTTGACCGCGCTACCAAGATCTGCTCGAGTTAGGTATCGGGGAGAAGCGACGTTTCTAGATGCACTACCCAGAAGGGCAGAGAAAGAATGTCTATGGACTAATTATATGGACCTACTTGACCCTATTTTTTTCTTTTTTTTACTAAATAGTGGTAATTATAGTGAGGTGAAAAAAATATTACCGTTATCATCAGAATTGTCATTTGCACTTGAAAAAGGCTACCGTTGTGGCTGAAATGTCGTATTTTTATTTGTAAACAGCATTTCAAACATATGTGGTCTCATTTAGCGATCAGACAATCATGGAGGATTATCTGCATGAAAACCGTCGTTATAATCTTAACCAGGTCTCCCGTGATCTGGTGAGGATACTTTTCTGACTTTAAAACTCGTGGCTTTTGGATCTCGGAAACGGTAAGATATACAAAGTCTGTTAAACGACTGAAAAGCTTCGCAATTAGATAACTAAGATAATGGAACCCGTCTCAATTCAGAGAAGGAGATAGACGAAAAAAAATTATTTTCCCTGAAATATTTTTTATTTTCTCCTCAGTCGAATAATACATACCCGGTATATCGGATTTCGTTGTCTGTTTCTGTCTCGTGTTTCGTTTCCCAGCAATTTTCGATTGTAGTTTGAATGCGTTTATCCATTTGAAATATTTGTCTGCGCGACTATGAACAGCTGGGTGACCGGACGTCATAATAATGGATTTCGCAGGATTACTTGATTTTTATTCCGGTTATTATACGATTTACGTGCAGCTGATCTTTGGCGGATTTATAGAGGATGCATAAGACAAGTAATTATGTGAACAAGGCATTCGAGATTGATGCATGCTACGTATAAGCTTTTACAAGTGCATAATAGCAAATAATTACTAGGTCATTTTAAAGACTTGATTGAATTTTCGGACAGGACGATGCCACTTTTGTTTTTTGTTGAAAGTTGAAACAATCAAAACGCACGCAATTCGGATTCATAAGATCGCAAAATAAGCACAGAATTAAAAACCTTTTCTGATATACATGTATATCAATGTACATTTGTGTTAGTCGCTCGAACAACTTTAAACCTATCCCTCTAAACTTTATCTATTGGAGCTGCCCTAGAAAACGTTTCTATTTAGTATTTTGCTGATATGTATGTAATAAACAAACTTGATTGGAATTGATTGAATCGATGCAATGTAAGAAAAGCTACCTACCACTAGGGCACATAACTGTATTTTGGAATATGGTGAATGCCCTTCAAAAACAAATCGATGCTGAACCACTTGCCCTCTGGTATTTATAAGTGATATCAGGGAATTCTCGTTTGAAGTATTGAATAATGAATCGAAGAATCAAGTATTACAGTCAAGTAGGAGTTTTTTTTCTTTCAACTTCTTCCCTCTGTAGACGTTTCACTCTTTTTATAGATTTCTGAAGCATTGACGATCGAGTGAGTTTTAAAAGTCTCACAAATTCCTAAGGCTTTAAAAACACTATTAACCTCAATATAGACGTCTTACCGTGGCATTAGAAGTGTTTTATTTATATGCGTTACATTTTGCATCGACAGTACAATAAAATAGAAACAAAATACCTTATTTGGTCCATAGCTGTACAACTACATTTACATACAAACAGCGATAAAATCAGATCTAGGCACCTTTGTGTTTGTGGTATCCAAAATAGGTAAACGGGAACTATTTCAAAGGCTAATTCAGATATTTGTTGTTGTACGGCTCATATAAGAGCGCAACCTTCATGCAGAGTTTTGCAACTATTTTGCATGCATAAAGTAGGTTATTCTATAATAGCTGAAGTGTTATCGGATATGCAAGGTAGGTCCCGATAAACCGTATAAAAAGTATACTGATTTGGGCGTTTCCACATTAAACATCACTCAAACTGCAAAATACAGAGCAACTTGGAGTCATGAGCATTCAAAAATTAATAATGCTTTTATATAGTGACCATTGGCATATTCAGAGAAAACCATTCCCTGAATGCGCCCATTATTTCCAGAGCGGATTTAGAATTTGCTTAGAGGAGGGGCAGCATTCCCCTTGTGACAATTGAAGAGCGGGGCGTAAAATATTATAGTAGACTTGGGTACGCTGCAATCTTTCTTGGATAACTCCATTCCTAATAACAAAATCTAATGATTTCTTCTTTATTCTCTATATGGAAAGTTGTATAGTTCTTACGTGTTGTTTCTCTTTCTTGTTAGACGGAATGTCGGCATTTATGTTTTTATTTAACTGATTGAACCGACAAACATACCTATACATAATTCATCATTGAATTTGCATTTAATATATCGTATAAGCACTTCTATTTTAGGTATGCATGCAGCATGCAGGTATGCATACTTGCTTCAGTGGATCATTCAATTGATGTCCATCATATTTTTGCCATTCTTAAAAGGATATCATTTTTATATCTACAGGGTAATTCACAAGTCCTTACCAAAAATGAAGCATCATACACGGGATCGCATTTTAAGGGGGTCTTCTATGTAACATTTTTTCCTCGAGGGCTTCATTATACGGTTTTTTTTTTAATATCTTCAAAACCGTCAACTGGAATGAACTAAAATTTGGTATGTGTATTTACCTAAATATTGTCCACATTAAAAAAAAAATGGTAGTAATAACGATAACAACCATATAACATGTAACTTTGACAAACTGTCTCCCAAGAAACGTCAAGTTGGTATCAAGGAATCCTATTTATTTTGAAACTAATTGTATCTCGGCTCTTCATGAATGATCTTATTTTTTTTATTTTCATTTTTACGAAAACAGTGCACTCTAGGAAAAAGCGCAAGAGTAATTATGTGTAGCAAATTGAAGGTAAAATTCGAAAAATCGCACGTTTCGAAAAAAACAGTGGCGTACTATTTTTATTTTAAAAAATAATGCCATTAATCCCCTGTATCTCCGTCACTGGTGCCCGTTAATTTTAAGTAAAGACTTTTAAATGTGGGCAATAGTTAGGTAAATCCACATACCATATTTTAGTTCATTCCAGTTGTCGGTTTTGAAGATATTTTTCATTTTTAAACTGCAACACCCCACCCCGTATAATGAAGCCCACGAGGAAAAAAATTTACATAAAAGACGGTCCTGTGTATGATGTTTCATTTCTGGTCACGACTTGTGAATCACCCTGTATATTAAGACGGTCTTATTAAGAGCGAGGAACATTTAAGTACTGACGGATAACTTGAAACATTTTGATTTTTATCACTAAAAACTCTAATTTACAAATTACTAGAGGCAGTCATTTATTTTGTTATATGTTTTATGTATTTTTTGTAAAAATTGACTATCATTATCTGTGATCGATTAAGTACTTACACAAAATACGGATTGAGTAAAACGTCTCATATCGATGTCTAAGGCTCGTATCGTCAGTCGTCCCTACAATTGTAGGGCGCCTTTATGGCCTCCTTGTCAGCGCTCTATTTTGAGGTTATGTCACAAACATCTATTTGCATCAAATTGTGCTTGCTTTTGAGTTATATCATGTTTTATCAGCCTGAAATTTCCTACAATTTAAAAAGAAAACATATCTTCACAATAGGAGAGCGCTGACGCTGACACGGGACAAGTGTAATCTAGAAATTTTGAAGGAGAGAAAGGAGTATGACAATCAAGGAGGCCATAATCGCGCCCTACAATTGTAGGGCGGCTTTATGGCTTTCTTGATTGTCATAGTTTTCTACTTCTCCGTGTCAGAACTCTATTTTGAGGTTATGTCACAAACATCTATTTGCATCAAATTGTGCTTGCTTTAGAGTTATATCATGTTTTGTCAGCCTGAAATTTACTACAATTTAAAAAGAAAACTTATCTTCACAATAGGAGAGCGCTGACGCTGACACGGGACAAGTGTAATCTAGAAATTTTTGAAGGAAAGAAAGTAGTATGACAATCAAGGAGGCCATAAACGCGCCCTACAATTGTAGGGACGACTGACGATATGGGCCTAACTGTCAAAGACTTTATCTACAAATTCTGTTAAATTATTACCACTGGATTCACCATACTCCATTTGGACTCTCAGAGAGCTGTATTTAAATTATATTATTTCAAATATTATATTATATTATCTAAATCAAGGGTTAGGGTTGAGATACAATTTTTAGAGATCAAAGATAATGGGCTATGGTGAGTCTAACCTAACATATTTTTTCAAACGTGATGAAGGTTATGTGATACCTGACTTTGAGGCTCCTTGTGGGTACTTTATAATTCTATAGTCTTTTATCTTTCAAAATAATGAACTGGCAGGTTGTCAAACTTGAGCGTTTTTGAATAAGGAGTTCCTTATAACTCAACAACCAGTCGTCAAAACGCCGTAGCATGTTATACCAATGTTCTTCTCTATCGCTATCTAAGTATATATTCGAATTATATTATGTATATACGACATTCCATTTAAAAAAATTCTGACAATTTTTTTAAACCGATTGCCCCATATTTTGTTGCACATTCAAATAGACCCTTCCAACAGAAGAACATATATTGATGTAAAATAATTAACGTTTTGATGACCAGTTTGTTAATGAGTTATAAGAGATAGACTAACAAACCGTTCAACTTACCAGTTCGACATTTAGTGATTTTATATTTTGGTGTTATAGATTGCTCAAAAGGAACTTCTAAATAAGGCCTCTGTTGCATTTTCGAATTTCAGCTTGATAATTTGATCCGTTCAAAAAACGAAAAGCACTGTATAGTTGGTGTTCAGTACTCTGTTTCTAATAAAAACATGTAACACGATATTTCTTTTGACTAATTTTTTAAATTTTTGTTTCAGGTGCACCGTAGTTCTTTTTAACACTCGAACTGAACAACAAAGTCACATAATCAACACAAGTAGAAAAACAATAACATCACTAGCATTTTCTTCCTGCGGCAGATACATCGTTACAGGTACGTCACATTTCCAAATGAAATGGATTATTTCTATAGGTTAAGCACCTATTTTTTGTACAGCGCCAATTTTAAATCATACAAGAGTACTAATTAGTTTATTTTCTAGCAGTTTGGATTAACAAATTACCAATTATTAGGTATTTACTTATTGGAACACCACATATACTTAGTAGGTTCCCGAAATAATCCAAATTGGCCGAGGAATTCAAAACATTTCCTGAAATCTATTTTGAGCGTGCATTTATAATCCAATCCAAACTTGAAATCTAATAATCGATATTCACACTGTTATTCTTCCTCTAAAATGAATGCTCTAATGGAACTCCGATATAAAAGACTGTCGAACGCTAGAATTCGTGACGTAAAGTGCGAAACCCATCGGCTTTATTATTTATTTCCCAGTAATATGATTTAATCGATGAAAGCATTTTCAAGGGTATTGAGGGTTTTTAGGTACATAATTAAATTTTGCTGAAGGCGCTCTTTTCTATCCGTTCTAAAGAGCTGAGCTGTCTCAACTCACTCATTTTTCAGATTTGAGCAAGAGTTCACTTATTTGAAAAGTTATTTCACTTAACTTAAAATGTCAACTCGTCTCTGATAGCTCCTACATAGGATTGTTGTGTTGTTGATTAGATGCAGAAGCATGCTTGACTAATCATAAAGCTGTTGAACAAAAGTAATGTTTTCTATGTCAAGCCGAATATTGTTGCATTTTAAATGGGCTTATACTGCAAAATGAGTATCAAATCGGTTTACTGATCTCCATGTCGTCATTTTTAAAATATTGTTTTTCATGTAGGAGAATGTGGTCACCAGCCAGCAGTGCGCGTATGGGATCTACAGTCAGACCCGCAATCGGGACACCCCGGTTTAGCCCCACAACCTCAACAGGTTGCGGAGTTTGTGGGGCACAAGTTTGGAGTCAACTGTGTGGTAAGTAGCTACTTTTTGAAAATTCTTATCCCAATGGCCTATAGACAGACACGTGGGTTTCAACCTCAACAGTCCACTTTTCAGCTACAGAATGCTCCCACGTCAAGATCTTAATCAGCAACCATAAACGCAATAACAGTTACAGTATGTTCCATCGTCGGTAGCAGGGGCACCTCAAAAGTATATGACGCTTGACAAATCATTGTTCATTTTTCTCATAATTTTGGAACATTCCATAATAGCGAGCGCCGCCGATGGTCTGCTACCAAAACGGAAGACAGTAGCTTAACGCATCGTACACAGCTAATACATTTTTGGCACAAATTGTTGAACAATCTATGCGAAAAGAGTGACATTTAAGACTGTGTACAATGAAAACAACAAAATCTTCAGTGATCCTTTATTTTACAATTAACAATATACTATATTTTAACAACAAAACAGTTACTATCGTCATTATATCCCATAAAGATATGTTATTAGTGTTAATGAATATGGATATTTTGCTTTGTTATTTTCCATGAATGTTTGAAATTATTTTGCAAATAATACACTTTTAGATCAGTAATAAATTTACATTTTTTTCAAAACCAATCCTGGTAACTCCATGCGTAATTCCCCACCTATCATGGCCTAGTATGCTGATCAAACACAGTTCAAAAAAACAAGGAATTTCTATTGAAAACTTTTCGAATATACTCACCAAAGAAATTAATGATATAATGCTCCAAGTTAAGCATTGAACTCGATTATGTAGTCGATGAAGTCCATAAAGTGTTCCTGTATGTCGAACAATTAATACTAGGTGTATCGTATAGTGGTATTTGGAAGCACTCTTTCTTCAATTGTGATAAAGGTACTCGTTTTCACAAGCACTGCTGAAGTTAAGCACCCCTACCCCCTTCAGTTTTCAGCATTATAGCGATTGATCATTTTTATTCGTATCGATGACATGACCAGAAAAAAGTTTTTAAACTACTCATTTTCCCTTTTTTAATTTTTCGGGGTCACTGGTCTGTGGACACCCTGAAACACACACATACATAGTCATATACGTTAAACTTACATGCCTCTATTTGTGGCCAGGGGTTAATAATAGTGCAAAACAGACACAGCATCTTTCGTTTTCCGATGTGGTTTCAAGACTGTATTTAATACTGTTGGTGGGTGCAACTTTCAGATTCTATATAGAAGTAAAAGTTTATTGACGTTTCCGCCACCTCAGTGGCCTGTTTTAAAGTACAAAATGACGATAACAATATACTTACTGTTTGTGAGATATTAGGTGACGTATCGACTTGGAGTCTAACCCATAAACTCTCAGATTAAATCCGACCTGCCTGTCAAGGTCGCAAGATACTTCTAAAGATCTAAAGTGTTATTGCGCGTGAACATGTTTGCTTTTTCAGCCATATGTCAAAGTTTCTCTATTACAAACTCGTACATGATAATAATGCAAAATATTCGTATTTTTCCAGGCATTTTCTCCCACGACTAAGTACGTAGTGTCGGTCGGTACCCAACATGACATGATCGTGAACGTGTGGGACTGGAAGAACAACATCAAAGTGGCCAGCAACAAAGTCAGTACAAAAATAAAATCCATAGCGTTCTCCGAGAACGGCAGTTACTTCGTCACTGTTGGTAACAGGCATGTCAAGTTCTGGTTTTTGGAACATGGGAAAGCAAAGGTAAAGACGCGTTTAGTGCTATAAAAGTATTTTGTTACCATATTTCTACCTGAGAAACAACAATACTTGTCGGTTTTTGAGCACTTAGGTCATATTAGTACATGAGAATAGTCCGAAATGAAACGATGTGTAAATGGATGCAAATTCGGCAGATTATACGTACAGGCAAAGAATAGGGAATGCCACAATTTCGATTTTTTTAGTTTCCCATTGGAAGCAAATCCTTGTATATGATATTTTAATTTCCAATCGTTAGCCTTAAAATAAGTGAAGAGATGGTGCCAAAAATACATTTTTGTTAATGGCCGAAACGAAAAGAACTGGGATTGTCTATGTCAAAGAAGAAGGAATTTATATAAAGTTTGCGGCATAATAATTTGAAGTTGAATATGTTCTCTGATTCAGATAATGATGAAAATAATCAGAGTATTATTAAGAAATCCGAAGATATAAAGTTGCGACTATCTTCTCATGAACAACGTTCAAAAGTTTTGAATATATAAATGGAAATAATCAAAGAAATATTATTAAATATTTCAATTCATTGGGTAGGTTCAGTGTACAGACCTTATATTTGTCAGGACTTATAAATGTTTATAATGTGAAACGAAGAAAAAGCAAGAAATTTGAAGATGAGACAAATTTCCATACAGCTGCATGCCGCTATAAAGCGCGGGTAAAATATGAAGATATCAGCAATTATGTTTTAAAAGATGTGGCTGTATGTTTAGCATTTATTGCACGTCATGAAATTATCAAAGAAAAGGTTGAATATCTACAAAAAGCATAAAAACAATCAGTAATCTCCAGAAGATCGTAAAAATCAGAGAGGAAAAAAATTTTAATCACATTAACTCATTCAAAGGAAGATTTAGTCATTACAGTTTAAAAGACAGTAGGAAACTAAAATATGATTCAAAAACCAAAGATTTTGATAACTGAATTGGACATTCCTTGTTTCTTACTTGTTTCAAAATGTATCATTTGGTTTTTGTTCAATTTAAATATGTTTGACAACTGAAAGGTCCAAAGTCAACAACAAAATTATATTAGATATAACACATTTAATCAGTTTTAAGTAAAAATTACTGCATACTTTGATCTAATTAAAAATAATATACTTTCAAACTTTCAATTGCATTTTTCTCAAAATCAATTCATTAGAACATTCCCTGTGATTTGCCCGTACCTTTCACATACAATATACAATGCTAATAATATATAATAATAATGAGATGATAAGTACGTCTAGATGTTGGATCCTTTTCAACCATGAAAGTCCAAATTGTTGAAAATGACAAACTACCTTAAATCAGTAATTTCCAATGCGGATGCACTCAAGTTGTTTTGTTTAGAAAACATATAATCGAAATCAAGAGGATAAAAAACTATACCCCTATACCAACAACTGGACTAGCGTCGACCGACATGTTCGCAGCCTTCCGGCGCTCATCTGGATCACTCAGAACATTTTTATATAATCGAATCAATAGTAGTACAGGGTTCGTCAGAAAGAACGATGCTTTTTAAATGAGTAGTACAGTCAAAATAAGTATGGGAAAAATATTTTATTATATCAAAATACTCAGAAATGCAAGCCTTTTTTCGAATAATACAAAATTTACGTTCTAAAAAGTGCCGGCCTTATGGCGCCCTTGAGCCGAAATGCAGGAATCAAGCCTCTCCCGAAATGATCCCATTGCGTCGGCCAGCGTGCCTGCAGGAATTTGGGTTACTTCTCTTCTTCGAGGCTTGCTTTGGTAAACTTTTGATTTCAGGTAGCCCCATAAAAAAGATCACACGTTGACAGGTCCGGGGAGCGAGGAGGCCATGGAATATCGCCATGACGTGAAATGAGACGTCCTGGGAATTTTTGCCGAAGAAGTTCCATGGAAGTGCGGGCTGTGTGAGATGTTGCCCCGTCTTGTTGGAACCACACTGTTCTGAGACCGACACGTCGACGTCGAAGTCGAATTTCCGAAAAAAAAAGTTGTTCAGCATGTGGATGTAACGCTCTGAATTCACAGTAGTTGTTTCTCCATCATCCTCAAAAAAATAAGGGCCAATAATCATCGTTGGGCCTACTGCACAGCAAACTGTAACTTTCGGGGTATGCAGGGGGTGCTCATGCAACTGTTGGAGGTTCACTATAGACCAATATCGACAACTTTGTTTATTGGCGTATCCATGTAAATGAAAATGTGCTTCATCACTCATATACAACGTCATGTCATTGTTATGCAACTGTTCAATCATGAGCTGTGCAAAATTAACACGTTGTGCATAATCCCCTGGCAACAGTTGTTGACAAACTTGGATTTTGTAAGGATGGAACACTCAATCCTTCTTCATGATGCGACGTACAAAGGACGCGTGGATCCCAGCGGAACTGGCACGCAAACGGACGGAACGATTCAGGCTTTGCAGCGTGTCAACTCTCACTCTGTCTACGCTTTCGGGGTTCTAACAGTACGGTTTCGCCCTGGCGGTCTTTTCTTCATCACATTACCTGTTGTGTTGAATGCTTCCACCCATCTCAAAATGGTGTTACGGTCTGGTACTGTCCCACGACATGGAACACGAAAGTGAACGCGAAACTCACATTGCGTTAGAATGGCAGACTCGCCATTTTGAATGTACCGACGTACAGTGAACACACGATGGTCAACGTTCCAGACCATCTTGTCAACTGAAACGGCACTTCTCCCACTATCCAACACGCCCTTCCTTACCCACACGGGACCAGCCCACTCGATGTAGTACCCATTCGGAAAACATGCGTTCTTTCTGACGGACCCTGTATATAATACTGTTGACAACAAAACAGTACGGTAGAAAAATTTTGGAGCGATCATAAGTACTTCAATGAATCAAATTTTTTGTTGGATATGTTGACGTCTTGAATTCGATACAGTACTGATCGCGAAGGCAAAGTCTAAATATTGTATTATATTGTTAAGTGTTGTTATAAAGAAGCTTAGAGGTTCTGGTTACTGGTTCTGAATTGGTTAAGAATAATAGAATCGGGAAATCATAGTTCTAGTCCTAGTTCTACCCAGTGAATGAGGCAATTGATAAAACGTGTTTTTCCAAGTTTTGTTTTCTTTTTATTTCAGTACAAAGAGGCAGTTCCCCTGATGGGCCGATCGGCCATATTGGGTGAACAGAGGAATAACTATTTCTGTGATGTAGCATGTGGTAAGGCGGCGTGCGGCGACAGCACTTATGCCATTACTAGGTCGGGCTTACTCTGTGAATTTAATAATAGGAGACTTTTAGATAAGTGGGTAGAATTAAGGGTAAGTACATATATATTATATATTAAATGCAGAAGTAACATGGCCAAAAATGCAATTTTTACAGATGTTGTACTTCCTACGCCACTGGGAGTATTGTAATGGTGAATTTCGAAAATGAGATACTATGCAACATCTGAAACTTATCCTGTGGTGTTCATGCTGATAATCCACCATGCTTCTCTGACGGTGACCTTTTTCAAGTGCTATCTATTTTTTTGTCAAAAGTGTCAATTGCACTCGAAAAGATCACCCTTGGGACCGAAACGTCGGTACAATAAATACTAATTTCAAATATATACGTGGTTTGATTCGAGCATGCAAACATGGGGGTTTATGATTATGAGATATTATGTTAATTGTCTGTCGGATTGTGATGAAAGTTTCACACAAGGTCGAAAAATATTTTTTTTTAAAAATCGGTTCAATGGCGGCGAATCTAGTGGTGACGTTTCCGATGCTCCCGAACATTTTCATAAAAACATTTGTAGGGTCAAAAATGGGGAGGTAGGCTTTGCAAGGAGTGGATGAGGCTATATCTCAAGTATGTCCCAATTGTTTGATGTTAGTATATTTACACGCTCCCAAACCAGTTATTCTACGCACCTATTAGCCTGGTTGAATGCTTTGCTCGTACTGATATACCAGTTGTATGGTGACTGCCGGTACGGCAGGGAAGGAATATCTATGGACTAATTGTATGGGCCTGTTTGACTGACGTGATCCGTTTAATTTCGGTGTTGTACATATTGTTGGCTAATTTTTTTCTCACTGAACTTAATTCTCTATAAACTGATGATGGCGTTGCGTAGGAATGACCTTAGTTGGCGCCATTTTTGGTTTTGTTTTTGATGCTTACAAAGGAAGATATTTGACTGCAATTATCCCAACGATTTCAAAAAATGGTATTTCTTGCTCAGATGTGTGTGTATTTTGTTTAATTTCTTGTGGAAGGAAAATCGTGGATATAGGGTAATTTGCTGTTCTAAACGTAAAGAAATCTTCAGAACTGAACTAGCCCGTATTCAAGCCTTATATACTGCCCGTCAAAACAAACATGTGCATTCGATTCGGCGAGTAAATTAAATTTGTATAGTAGTTCGAATTTCCTGTATTGTTTGTATCGAAAGTTACAACTATCCTATATTGTAGAAGGAAACTACCAAGGTGTAACGCAACTCGAACTTATTACTTAATACAAATAAATAATATAAAATAAGTTAAGGGCTTGAACATGGGCCTAATCGTTACTAATACTTCGCTAAACTTGCATTACTTCTGGCGTAAAATAAGCGATGTCTCTATCATCAGCTGTAAAACAGCGAAATCTTCAAAAACTTACTTGATCAGGTTCTGCATTAAAACGGCCATGTGTAACGTATCTAAGTATATAGCTATACAGGGTGTCCCAGAAGTCGACGTTAAGCGGAAACCGGGTGATAGGCAAAGTCATAATAGTTATCAGAAAAATATTTAAAAATATCTCACGTATGTGTTTTAAAAATTATAGGTATTTAAAAGAAATAGAAATTTCACACCCTATGGTAGTCTGTTAACTCCTGTTAATACAGATATTGACTTTTTTTGGGTTTTATTTCTACAGTGTAATGATGAATACTGGTGTCTCAACTTTAATGCTAACTTTTCTAGTTCAGCGGAAGTTGCCACATTTTCGAACCAAGTAGTCCAAATTGAAACTTTGCTCAGCTTTAACTGACTGTACTTGAAAAATGTACTACGAGAGTTTGGCAAGTAACCTTACATGTTGGCGAATAATCTGTCACGTAGTACATTTTTGCCGGTGCAGTCAGTTAAAGCTGAGCAAAGTATTAATTTGGAATACTTGGTCGGACAACAGTGGCATTTTCCTCTGAACTAGAAAAGTTGGCAGTAAAGTTGAGACACGGGTTAAAACATGCACTATTCATCATTACACTGTAAAAATAAAATTCAAAAAAAGTTATTTTTTGTATTAACAGGAGTTAACAGACCGTTGGGTGTGAAATTTCTGTGATTTTTTTTGAAATACCTATAATTTTTAAAACATACTTAAGGTTATGACTTTAGCGGGTTCCGGCTTGACTTCGACTTATGTATATTTTATGAGTACCTTTCACATTAATAGACAAAGATTTTACAAAGTAAGTTGGTAATAATATATTTTCTGAATATCATTTCTAGACAACAAGTGCCAACTGTATAACTGTAGGTGAGAAATATATATTTGTGGGATGTGCGGAAGGAATCGTTAGGTGTTTCGACCCAGCCACGCTTAGGTTCATCACTACGCTTCCTAGAAACCATTACTTAGGCGTAGATGTTAGCTTGGGAACTAGCATACAGTAAGTTGTCTTTTAACAAACCATTATTACATACAAATATATTGAAATTAACACTATTCACGTTCATCAGAATGAAAATCTTTGCTTGAAACTTGGATTGTATGCAGACACTAAGTTTGAAAAATTCTTTATGATTATTTTTTTGACAGAATTTCAATCTATTATTTCAAAATAAGTGAAGCTGTAGTTTAAATGTGTTGTTTCATATGAACATTCCACTATTTTTACAGACACATGGCCACACCACCTCCTGATGCCAAATATCCTGATACAATAGCCATAACGTTCGATGAAACTAATAATAAACTAACTTCGATTTACAATGATCACTCAATTTATGTTTGGGATGTGTTCAACATTCAGAGGGTAAGTATCACGGATATTACTCAAACATTAATAGAAATTCCTTCATTCTATTTATTATAGGAATATAATTCCTCAGATATTCTAATCGTTATACCATCTTAGGATCCCATTTAGCAAAATTAATTCTTTGTTACAGGATGTTTATCACTTTGTTACTTCCCGCGTCACTGGCGAGGGATTGTTGTAAGCGTGAAAGATTTAGAAAATCAGATATATTTTTTGGGTGTTATATGACATACATCCCAAAATTCATATGACTCATTTCCGTAGGTTTGTCTATCGGTTTGTCCACCAATCCTTGGCCCATCCATATTTTAGAAAGTACCGGTCGGATTTTGGTGAAAATTTCACTCAAGGTGGTACTACTATGCCAACGAAGAAACAACTTTGTAGTTTTTGTACATTCGGTCCAATGGCGGCGGGTGGTTGAAACAAAATAAAAAAAAACGAAAATAGCTCATACTTCTTTTTTCGGCTTTTCAGAGGTTACTGAACATTTTTAGGAAAATTTTTGTACGCGCTTAAAGTTAGGTGTTGTAGGGGGGACCTATTAGATGTATTGCACGCATCATATATTTGCCCTTAAAACTTGTGGAAGATAGAGAAATGTTTTTAATACACTTGTCTCTAAATACATCTGCGTCTCAGTTCAACCAATGGGTGTCTGTGTCCCGTAGTCGGTGCTAGCTGTCATGGTGTCATGGCTGACGAGCAGCTGGATTAGTCATAGGAATATCCAACGTGACCAGATGGTACTCTCGGTAGGACAGGAGATAAATTTCTAGATTGCAACGTTGTCAAATGGGTGGGCACTATGGATTAATTGTATGGTCCTGTTTGACTGACTTGATTCATTTAGTTTTTTTTGTTATACATGTTCATAGCTAACTCAGTGGGGCTAATTTGTACCAACCAAACTTCTTTATGAACTGCTGACAGCATTGCGTGGGAACTGCAGAGTCAAATCTACTTGTCGCCATTTATTTAATGCATTTTTGTTTTTTAGGTTGGTAAATCCTTCTCTTTCCTCTACCACTCCGCTTGTATTTGGGGTGTGGAAATGGCTCCCCCAAACAGTCCACTGCCTCCTGGAAGCTTTCTGACATGCAGCTCCGATGACACAATTAGGGTATGGACGTTGGATAAGATGAACGAAAATAATGCTAGGGGCATGTACCAACCAAATATTTATAGCAATGTAAGTAAAACGTAGATTGTAAGGATAAATAATTTACATATAATGAATATGTGATGAATAAGTAGAAGCTTAGAAATCATTAGTCCTCTCCAAGTTAATTGCCTGAATGAGAATATCAAGAAACCACAAATTACTCATGTACTAGCTGTTACCCGCGACTTCGTACGGGATAAACTGGTGCTAACATATAACGTTGTTTTTTATTATCCCTATAATTCCATAGCATTATTAAATTGACAGTCAAACTGCTTCTTGGGAAATTTGGTCCTTCTATTAATGGAGCCACCTATAAGCTGCAAGGGTAAAACCCTGAGGTGAAAAGCTAATAATATTCCCAATTTTTTTAAATTAGCATTTCGTATTAAACTAAATTTTACATCGTAAAAGCTACCTCTTTGTCAAATTCCCGCTCACACAATCCATTCCTAGTTTAAGTCTACTCTAATCAGAACCTCATTGATGCAATTTCTAGACATTATAAAACTCGGAGCAATTTCAAACAAACTTGCAAGAACCCTTTACTCCCTTAATCCGCCACAAAATCCGTTCTTAGCTGAAATGTCATCTATATCAACTGCCTCTCTGCCGAAATTCATGTTTGTAGGTCAATTTTTTATGATTAATGTGTATATTTTTGCTTTTACATATATCTGCCCATAGCTCCCTTATTCCGGCCCGGTTTTAAAATCTGAAAAAAAATCTCTTCATAATTGCTTAATACTTTTTAACCATTCATCAGCACTTGTGAAAAGTTTGTAAAACTAAACTAGAACTATATACAACCGATGACTATTTCAAGACAGATTTGAATGTGTAATATGCTCTAGAGGAAGATTTTATTGTTACTTTTGTTTGGTTGGCGCTATTTGTATCACAAGTTGTTTACAGCTTTTGTATAGCATTTGTATTATCTGCGAAATGTAATGTTCATAGGCCACATAGTGCTCGAGATAAGGTTCGATAAACTCCAAAAGTAATGAAGTTCCCAATAGAAATATTCCTCATACCCCATCTTGAGGATATTCTTTATGAAACTCTTTTTGAATAATAATAATTAATTATTTCAAAGTTGAAATTGAAGACAAAACATACTGTTTCTTTAAGGCTGGATTAATTAATTATAATATTTTAAATTCTCTACAAAAACTTAGGGGTAGAATTTACAAAATTTCTTTGTAAGTGCCCATTTACACTGTATCTTAGAACCGAGCATATAAAACCCACATTCTGTATACCTAGCTTTAAAAGTAATAGTTTCCCCCTTACCCCTTATTTTCCACCCCTTCAAGTCTTTCGCAACAAAAAGTAGCCCATGTCCGTTACCAATGTTTAATCTATATGTACACTAAAATTTATCAAAATCTGTTCAGCCGTTTTGGCGTGAAAACGGAACATATATACATACTTTCACATTTCTAATATTAGTAGGGAAGTAGGGATAATATATAAGTAATATTAAGGCGCAGAATCGAGGGGATATGGCTAGGAATACTACAAATGTGCAAACAAAGTGATCTTGAAACAAAGAATACCCCATTTATATTTTTCAGGAACTGCTGAAAGTAGTGTATATAGACAAAGACATGTCATATATAAAAGATCTGGATATATCGGGCACAACAGATAAGCAAGAAAATAGTTCATACGATGGCAGAAATGGTGTAAGATGCATACGGGTTAGTCCTGATGGAAAACATTTAGCGTCAGGAGATAGGTAAGCAAGTCAAAAGTATATTTCATATTGTGTTAGTTTATTTTTTGGTCTTCAGTGAGCAAACATCTTTTTGTGATCCCATATTATCAATATCTGTTTCTTTATTCTAGGTCTGGTAATATTCGCATTCACGACACCTCAACAATGAGGGAACTATGCAAAATAGAAGCACACGATGCTGAAGTTCTTTGTCTGGAGTATTCTGACAGCAATTTGGGTTTGATGGCATCAGCGTCCAGAGACAGACTGTTGCATGTGTTTGATACCAAGAACGGTTACGATTTCCAGCAGACTTTAGATGACCACTCGTCTTCCATAACAGCTGTTAGGTTTCTGACTCATGCTGGAAATACGCAGATGGTGTCGTGTGGGGCAGATAAAAGCTTGATATTCAGGTGAGTTGAGATAGAACAAATATTTTCAAAGATTAACTTGTTTGATCCATGCCCAACATCATTTCGTGTTTGTTAGACAACTCCTTCGTTACGCGTTCTCATTTCATTAGGATTCTCAGCATTTCGGTAAAAAAAAACCTTAGATAGATGGATACTCAATACCAACTATAGATAGACAGCATTTTCAGATATTCACTAGCGCCCACTGAGGGATATGCAACATGGCCAATGTCCAAAGAGATGTCTGCAAAAATTTAAATGTAAATAGATACGGCTGTTTTTTTTAGTAGTCAGTGGACAAGACTCTGGCAGACATATCTTTATAATTTTAATTGTGCTACCCGAGTTAGAGCGTCAAGTCACTATTCATCACTAATTTCAGGACTTTGGGAGATGGAGCGGGAAAACCCCAATTCACGAGAGCTCACAATGCTACAGGAAAAACGACGCTGTATGACATGGAAGTGGATACGGGCCAGAAACATGTTCTTACTGCCTGTCAAGATAGAAATGTAAGGATATACAGTGTTAATACTGGCAAACACACGAAGAGTTTCAAAGGTAGTACTGGTGATGATGGAACGTTAATTAAGGTAAGCAGCTACATGAAGTAATGGAATTTCAAACAAAACAAACTTGTATGCACCTTCTTCACGTATTTCGTTTCTTTCTGACGCGAACTCGAAGCTCCAAGAAATAGTTAAAACAAAATTTGCATAATTTTTCAAGCAAAATAAAGATGAACGCAACAGCCTTTTGTAATTATTTACTCAGCCTAGTAAGTTCGCTCATAATATGCATTCTGTAGGTTGTGCTGGACAGATCTGGGATATACCTCGCAACTTCTTGTACAGACAAGTCTTTGTCGGTATATGATTACTACTCGGGTGAATGTATGGCAACGATGTGCGGGCACTCGGAACTGGCGACAGGGTTAAGATTTACGAACGATTGTCGGAGGTTAGTAAATGTTGATGCGATAAACTTTGATATTTGAAATACAGAGTGTTTCCTAAATATGGTACGAAACTTGAGAGGGTGATTCATTAGGTCGTTTAAAAAAAACTTTTCATGAGCATATGTCAAAAATGCTTCATTTCTGAGACACCGGGTGTAGAAATTAAAAAACATTTATAAAATATAAATATCTTTAAACCGATTTGGTTGAAATCTGGTGCAATTATTTAAGGAAATAATGCGCTTATTTAGCCCTAATTAGATTGAAATTATTAGTTCCATTTTGTTGAATGAAAAATAAACAATGTCGACCTTGAAGTAAATGAGTTGTCAACCAAATCGGTTTAAGTATACAGGGTTTGTAGAGGGCTTTCCTAGCTAACGAATGAGCGGCTGGTCAGTTGTCTCCGAGCACTTGGAGACTCAGGACAGGCATTTTCGCGCCACGTGTTTTTGTTAGTGGTGCAAGCCGAAAATGCAGCGTTCGTTAGAGCAGAGGTACGCGATTAAATTCTGTGTGAAACTCGGTAAATCTGCGACAGACGTTTGATATGATCATGCAGGCTTACCCAGGTGTTGCTTTAGCAAGAAGTGGTGTGTTTCGGTGGCAGCAGGCCTTTTTGGAGGGCCGGGAAGAGGTCGCTGACGAAGACCGTGCTGGAACACCTTCGACTTCAACAAACACCGTTAATGTGACTCGTGTGCGCAAAGTTTTGAACTCAGACCATTGACTAAGTATTCGTTTAATTGCCCAGATATTAAATTTACCAAAATCTGTGGTTCATGACATTGTGACACAGCATTTGAACATGCGCAAGGTGTGCGCGAAGATGGTCCCAAAAGTGCTCACTGACGACCAAAAATTGCGGCGAGTGGAAGTGTGCCAAGAAAATTTGAACATGTGTGAAAGTGACACCCAATTTTTGAATAACGTAATCACAGGTGACGAGTCGTGGATCTTTGAGTATGATCCCGAGACAAAGAGGCAATCTTTCGAGTGGCACACGACGGCGTCTCCTCGCCCAACAAAGGGAAGAATGAGCAAATCCAAAGTGAAAATGATGCTCATTGTCTTTTTTGACATTAAAGGCATCGTCCACCATGAATTTGTTGTCAACGCCAAGTTTTACATGGAAGTGCTCAGGAGACTCAAACGAAGGGTCAGTCGGGTCCGACAAGACATCGCAGCCGACTGGAAGTTGCACCACAACGCCCCGGCTCACACCGCCTTTCTTGTGAACAGCTACCTGACCAAGGCCGACATCCCAACGCTTCCGCAGCCGCCCTACAGCCCAGATGTGGCCCCCCGGACTTTTTTTTGTTTCCTCGCCTGAAAAGGCCGATGAAAGGCAAGCATTTTGAGACGACAGAGGGGATCCAAGCAGGATGCACCGCGGCTCTCAAGGCTATTCCGGAGAATGCCTTCCGTGACGCCTTTAATGCTTGGAAATCGCGCTGGCAGCGCTGCATCGACGCAGAAGGAGCCTATTTCGAAAGTTTTTAAAGAATTGTAACGATTGGCTGAATAATTTTTTTTAAATCGACTCAGTCCAATTACTTTCCGGACAAACCCCGTACTTATGATATTTTATAAATACTTTTTTAACCTCAACGTCCTGTATCGCAGAAACGAAGCAACTCTAGACATATGTTCATAGCAACCTTCTTTCTTAAAACAACCTCACGTATCACCATCTAAAGTTTCACACCAGTTAGTAAACACCCTGTATACAAAAACGTAATTGTAATACGTTTTTTTTGTAACATGTGAATTCAAATCCCAACACAACAGGTTGATTTCTGCAAGTGGTGACGGTTGCATCTTCGTCTGGCGGGTTCCGCATGATATGGTGGTCACAATGCACGCTCGTCTCAGTCAGCAAGCGATGAGGCAGGGAAAACGGGTGGAAAATGAAGTTTTCAGCGATAGCAGCACCTTCGATTTTTACGAGGGTACTAATACACTCGATGTCAACTATAGGTGAGTCCACTTAATATTTTTATCATTTTCCAAATCTTGCAAATCATGAGTAGAGAGAAAAGTATCCAATTTTATGCTATTCCCCAGCATTCTACATTAAACATTTTAACAAATTGGAAAAGCTCCAAGTACTTTGAACAAAGATTCTATCTGAATGACCAAATAATCATACCATAGCTTACACTATGCCCTCATTTCTGCAGGTTCAGTATAGGTCAGCTTCCTCAGTGGGCAAAAAAACAGTTGACGGAAGATGCTAGTCAGCCTCCGAGCTTCGCAAAGGGCGTTGCAGTCCCTAAAGGACGGTGGGCGCAAAGGGCAGAAAATGCCATGGGGGTCAAATCATTCTACTCCACTAATCCATATCCATTTCCACCTCCAGGAGGTAAGTTTTCAGATACTTTATACAATTACTTACTCTTTATGTCCAGGAGTGCGGATATTCAAATACTTTGTTCAAAATAATTACAATAAAACAAAACAGTTTGCACACCTCGTCACTGCATAGTCATTTGACGTTGGAATTTCAATATCCATTTAAAATATGTTTAGAGCACAACGTTTACTTACAAAGTGGAGCAAGCTGACAAATTGAATGTTGACAAAAATAAACTATTTTGGGTTTCTTCCAGGAATCAAAAAGCTACATTGGCTCCTTAAACCTAGGAGTAAGTTGAAAGATGGAACTTCTAGTTCATTCATTTAATTTTCCTATCTTTCTACTACTATTACTACTGCATATATACTTTTAATCACTCAATCTAATAATCTTCGTTCGATATAATCACCTGAAATACCATGTATCATTTTTATTCATTAATAAACTACATTTCAGTCCACAAATAATTTTTCCATCTGTAATACAAAAGGTGATTTTCGTGGTTACATGTACATAATATATTAGTTATTATAGGCTAATATAAACTTGAAACAGATAAAAAAAAATCATATGGGAATAGGACTCATCATTTAAGCTTCCATTTCTGAGCAAAACTACACAGATATTCATAAAGTCCCCATAAAAGGAGGAATTCACATTCTCTTAAATATACATACGTTTATTCATTACGAACAGCTAAAATTACGGTCAATCCTCAGAAAACTCTATAACGACGACGAAAATTTTGCAGAATTTCAGTGCCCCATTTTATTAACCTAGCTGATACACATACAGGCTGTTCATTTGTAAACCTCCCACCACGGATTTTTCGACAACCACGGATTAAAAGAAAAAACGCTGAGACACGTCAAAAGATTTTTCAAGGGGGACAACTTTTTAACCAAAAACTACTTGACCTTGACCCCCTTTCACCCTCGGCCCCCCAGGGTCATTCCCTTAAAAAATTCAAATGACAAGGGGTATCGAGTAATAGCTTGTTTGAAAGGTCTTTCGAAGTCCTTTATTTTGCCGTTTGATTTTTGAAAATCAGTCGATTAGTTTTCGGGAAAATTAGAAAAATTTTGATCTTAATTTGTTCAGATAGAAAACCAAATTACACGAAAACATCACTTTTTATTTCAATAAGTGTTCAAAATGTTGCCCGTTAGGGTTTGCCAAATCTATAATTAGTTTATAATTTAAAATGGAAACTACCAACATAAAAACAGCGATTCGGAAGATTAATCGTGGCAATAACCAAATAACAACCCGATTTATTTCCGCTTTCTTTTCATCAACGCAGATATCCTGGGCAAACTGTATTTATTTTTATACCTGTTTAGTTATTTTTTGCCAAGGGAAGAAAGAATTTAATTTGCATTGATTCAGATTTTACTTTCAAAATTGTTTACACACTAGCCGAAAGATTTGAAATGATTCTAATTTATGGTGCCCACAATCATTGTGCTCGGCAAACTGCCATCACGTTTAACGCCGGACTTCCGGGGAAAATAACTTCGCATCGGTATGTTTTGGATCTTGTTACTATAATTGCTCAAACTGGATCTGTTGCAAATAGAAAACGTGATCATCGGATTGGATGAAGCCGTTCAAGTTGAAGTTTTTCGTCATTTTGGCATGAATCCTAATACTTGCTGCGACTGGTATTTCATAAGGCTCTGACACACAGATACTGAACTCCATAAATTTCATCCATTCAAAATGAAAATATTGCAAGAGTTAACCGAAGATGATTTCGATAGGCGAGTTGAGTTTTGTGAACAAATGACTGCAGCGATTAATAATAATACCATTCATGTAAAGAATATCTGTTTCAGTGATGAATGCACATTTAATCTAAATGGAGTTGTTAATAAGCATAACTGCAGGTTCGGCAATGGCTAGACGACGAGTTTCCAGATAAATGGATAGGGCGAAGAGGCTCTATAGAATCGCCTGCTAGATCTCCTGATTTGACGCCATTAGACTTTTTTCTGTGAGGTCATTTGAAATCTATTATGTTTACTCCCCAACCTGAAAGTTTGGATGAACTTCGTCAACGCATCATCGAAAGCTGCCATGATATCCCACAACATGTTTTTGAAAATGTCCGCTTTGAATTTGAACATCGCCTATATCATTGTTTGGCCAATATCGGGCAACATTTTGAAGACGTATTGAAATAAAAAGTGATATTTTCGTGTGTTTTTGTTTTCTGTCTGAACAAATTAAAATAAATAAAGATCTTTCTAATTTTCTTGAAAACGAATCGACCGATTTCAAAAAATCAAACATCAAAATAAAGGACTTCAATAGACCTTTCAAACATGCTATTACTTGATACCCCTTGTCATTTAAAATTTTTAAGGGGATGACCCTGGCGGGAGTTTCGATAATCCGTGGTGGAAAGTTTTCAAATGAACACCTTGTATATGAATATATCGCTTCTATTGAATAAGTTTTTATTCGACTGCAGATAGAAGATTTGACTCTGACGGTGGCTCCAAAGACAGCTCGCTGGACAGCGGTACGGAAATAAAAAATTATCAGGAATCACGGAAGGAGATTTCTGTAACAAAGGTCACGAGGATTGAAAGCAGGAGAGGAATAATGACTGATGACAGTGCTATAGGGGATGTTGAGTCTACGGCTCATGATGGGGATATTGATTCTGATATGGAGTATAGGCACAGGCCAATATACTATCCCACACAGTCTGGAACGCAGAGGTAAATCGTAAAAAGATTATACACTTTTTTATATTCAAGTCCATTTGGCCCATGTGGCTTTTAGAGAAGTCTTTCTAATGTGCTGGATATTTTTTGCCCTCTTGTCCAAGACTATTGTAGAAGAAAAATATTCCTCTAGTTGGCAAGTCAATAAAGGGTGTCTCAATTGGGGATTCAAATTCAGTGCATTTTTTCAACAACTTGATATTTTATTGGCATTTTTTAGTGTGCATAGGTTATTTAGATGCCCGGGAATTTAATTACGTTGGTTTTACGACGGATGCACGCATCGGAATTATGTAAACGTATAGTCCAGTTAAATAGCCGAATAGGCCGCAAAAGTGATAACATAGCCACAAAGTTATTACAGCTGGCTTAGGATATCTAAATTTTTCTTATTTTTGGGCCATCAAAAAAGGTCTTTGCAAATGTTTTGCTAAAATGCGTAGTTTTCGCGCTACAGCTTGCTGATGGTGTTTGGGTGAGGGGCTTGCGGGGACAAGGACGGCGTACCTGCACTCCTGCATATCACCAAACAGTCGCGGCACCGTCCACGCGTTGATGACGCAGACGATCTCTTACTACATTGTGGGGCTTATTCAGTAATAGTCCAGTTAAATTTCGAACCCTGAGCTCGCTTGTCACTTTGGTGTTCACCGACTTTTCCGAATGAAAGTACAAAGAACCTCACCCTGAGGGGGGTCATAACTACCAACTCAGCACACAGTTTATTCGGCATAACAAGGCATCAAAATAACTAACACGGTCAAACAAAACAAATGCGAAATTGCTGAAATTGTTTACTTTCACAGTGGGAGTGAATTCACCGTGACCAACATCGACGCCGAGGAGCTACGCAAGTCCCAAAGAAAGAAGAAACCACCGAAAATCCTGGTCCAACAAGCCACGTCATCAACGTACGGCAGCAATGACTCTGACGATGATGATGACGATGCATCGACGCCGAGCGGTGAAAACACAGATAGGAATCCGATGTCGTTGTTTTCGATCAGCTCGGAGTCGTTGGATCAGCTTGTCAGTAGGGAAAGGTATTTGCAGTCTACATTTGAGAGCATGTCGGGGATGGAGAATGAAGTCAGGACGCCCAGTAAGTCATACTTGTATATTGTTATGGCGATCCCCATAAAACTCCCCAAGTAGAAATCTCTAAAATTTGGGGAAAATCCCCCAGCATGGAAACCATGTAAATGCACCACAGATACTCCAGGCATCGAACTTTCGGGTCATTTTTACAGTACGAACAGCATTGCTGTCGTTTCTCCTGGTATATAGGCTTTATGCAGATTTATGCAATTGGATTAATAAGACTTTAATAAGGTTAAAACCATTGAAGAGACAATACTTCCATTTTTTGTGTCAGCTCTTTTATGCGTTTTATCACTATTTTATTTTAATTATTTAATTTCCGCCATATAAGCTATATATTGATCTTATTGAGCAAAAAATGAAATACTGTAATTAGTTCGTTTAAAAAATTATGCAAAATAAAATAAGACAAAATTGACTGATCTTGCAAAATCATCTTCGCCATATTTTCATTATGTTTCCTCACATATTTCAACATCCATGATTTGCAATGGCTTTCTAAGCATCGATATAAGAACTATTGGGTCACTTTCAGGTCACAAAAAGATAAAAATCTTCGAGAAGCCAAAGCGTAAGTCTTTCAACCAAAACGTTAACAAAACCACCCATGTTATTAATCTGGGAACACCTTTAACTATTACAGATTCATATCAGGCATACTAATGCTCCCCAAATTAATTATTTCCCGGGGTTATCGATCATAAAATTGCCTTTTAGCCCGAATACGAGTTTGGTCGTTTTACAGCGAACAAATCGTCCATTTCATCGAAGTTCCTGACGAGGTCCGGTGAACGAAACGTAGAAGCCATTAACGCCGTGAAACAGACCAAGAGTGATCCAGATGCCATTAAGAAAAGGCAGGAGTTGAATAAGAGGATAGCGGAAACCAAAAAGAAGTTAGAAAGTGTAAGTATCAATTATTGTTATACTTGTCTTTGGTTCTTCATAATTACTCACGTTTAATTGTAATTGTAAAGATAATTAGTACTACGCATTTGATCCATGGTAAAGTTGGTTATGAAGATGGTCCATGGAACCTTAACACACAACAAAATATACAGAATTTTTTTAGAAGGCTCTTAATGTTTTAAGTAGATTTATGAGTGATAGCAATAACCTGATATCAGCATCTGATCAAAATTATAAAACAAAAGCATTTCCAATGCTTTGGCTAGACTTGAATTAAATAAAAACCAGTGTTTTATTTGGGTTGTTATTTTTTATTGAATCATAATACTCACGGTAAGGTAATAGATGAAGTTACACATTGGACATATTACGTTTTCGGTTGGATTTTTTTAATTTTTTTTTTTTATTCAAATATAATAATTTTATATTATTACCGTCAAAATACTCCTCATAGACCTGCTGGAACTCCGATACTGGAATAGCCTTCATCTGGTCGGTTACAGCCTTTTGAATGTTTTCTACTGTCCCAAAATAGGTTCCTTCGGGAAGAGAAAAAGTAACAAGGACCCAAGTCAGACGGATAAGGAGGTTGAGGAGCTGCATGAATATTTTACTGGCCAAAAACTTGTTTATTGACATTGCTGTGTGACAAGGAGCATTACCGTGATTCAACACCCAGTTGTTCTTGATCTGATGAAGGGTGGTGTGAGTCAAATTTAACTCTTCCCCTATCATTCTGACTGACAACCGACGATCTAAATGCACAAGATCCCAGATTCTGTCGATATTTTCATCAGTTCTTGAACATGAAGGCCTACCACTTTGTGGTTCATGTTCAGTCGACTCTCTCTCCCTTCTGAAAATCCCTTAAACCGCAGAAAAATCTGGGCTCTTAGCAAGAGTTTCTATTGCACTGCGCCCAAGCCTGAAGCAAAACCCGATAGCATACCGTTGCTTGAAATTGATGTCACACATTTCTAGAACACAATAGAAAGAAAACTGTTTCACAAAAAAAAATCGATACGGACAACCAAATGATTCAAGCGAGGATTATATGTTTCCCTGTCTCCCCTCCAAGCCCAGCGCCTCCGGTGTTATCAGATCGAGCGCTACGTTGCAAATCTCATCGTTGAAATTTTGAAATTACAGACCTCGTATGCATACTTGAGTGAAAATCCGTATAAATATTTTGGATAAATGTTGCTGAATTTCTTTCATTTTCATCATCAAAAGCAGAACTGTCTCACGCAATGATTGAGTTGTTTTACAGGCTGTATAACGTTATCCACTACAGAACTCTATCATTATATCGCGATATCGGGTACCAGTAACCATCACTGCTTGTCGAGCTTTATTTTTAAAATCTGCGCCAAACATTTTGGATGCATTTTTTTCGACAATCACACGTGATTTTCTCAATGCAGCAGTTTTGACAATCCACAAAGCCAAGCTTCATTCCTCTACAGTTCCTGTGTTGCTTGGATTTTGTAAGCAGGGAGACGCAGATTTTCAGAGTACACTATAGAGAGCTTCTTGAAATTTTACGATTTTTGTCAACGATGCTGAACAGTTTCTGGACGTTCATCAATACTCACGCATTTAATCGATATTGAGGTTTAAGCGTCACGGTCAGTGTATTTATCATCAATTGATCATGTCTCTCTGAATCAGACTCTTCATAGGGGGCGAAGTTGAATTAATATTCCGACCTACTTTGTATGAGTTCTTCGAACTATTGCCGCCAAACTGATATTATTCTTGAAATCTTTTATCAACAATGAAAACGGTCTCTTCTTTTGTGTCAGGCTTCATCTTTCCTAACCCTAAACTAACAGCTGTAATGTTTTTTTATACTACCCGCGCCTACTGGCGAGGAAGTACTCGTATTGTAAAAACCATGTCACTCATTTTCGTCGATCTGTCTGTCTGTCTTGGATGAAATTTTCACACAATTTTATCACTATGCCAAAAACAAAATAAGCTGTCTAGTTTTTAAAAATCGAACCAGTGGCGGCAAAGAAAAATGTCAAAAACGAAAAAAATAATAATTGCGCAAACTTCGTTTGCATGAGGAGGTTTGCTTTGTAGCTAACTTTTTTCTCAGAAGGGCTAACTTGTCTGAACATAATCCTTCACAAACTGATGAGAGCATTGCGTGGGAAGTACAGAGTCAACTTACTTGAAGCCATGTTTTGGCTTTCACTTTATTGTACAAAGGAACCCAAATTCAGGACGTTCGTATAATTTGAGACAGAATTTTTGGGACGCTATATGAAGTTGAAGGATCTGAAAAACGTTTTGTACTACATATAAATTCCATTCATTTGATAATGATGTGAAGTGTGAAGTTGTTTATTTCTTTAGTTGTATATTAAATAATTTCATATTCTTTTGTAGGTGGGACACTCTAGTCCCCTGAAATACAGCCAGTCCATCCACGACCTGTCCCACATCCCTGAGCGTGACCGTTGGTCCAAAAAGCAAGGTAATTCTCAAGTTCCAGTTACCCCAAATCAGCAACACTGCAAGGAGTGCTTTGATAATTGTTCGGCTAACATTTGCCATGAACAGACTTCTACTAACCCTACTAATTCCTTCCATATACCTCAGAGCAGTTCTGTGCCTACAGATCTACAGTTGTGCGGCTGTTATATGAGAGATATTGCCAAAAATACTTCTCAGCTCTCACATATGCTCAATTTAACTCAGTGCTACAATCAGGAGGTTGTTCCAAAAAGTCCGGAGAAGACTCTTAATGATTTTATCAGACCGAGAAAGTTGCAGTTGGACAAAACTTTGGCAAAGTATAAACTGCATAAAAGCCTGCCTGTCAGTCCAGTTAGTGAAGAACGATCTTTTTCGGATTACGTAGAGCAAAAACAAGAACTGGGTAGGAAAAGTTTCAGCTATTTCATTGATTTTGAGAAAAAGACCTCGACGGATGAAGGTTTCAAAAAAATCTGTGATGATATTGAAAAGTTTAGCCAAGATTTTAACAAGAAGTACGAACAAATAGAACAACGGTTCGATAATCAGATTGAGGCCCGTGCCAAAAGAGTTGACGATGACGAAGAGGACGGTAACTTTAGTTCTGATTCTTTAGAAGACTACTGCTTCATGAACGTAGGTACCAAAAAATCCAAAAACAGAATCCCTCCAAGACGTTGTGTGTCAAATAACGAGATATACAAATATCAAGAAGAATATGTTGAAGAAATACCAAAAAGCGAAAGTTTCTATTTAAATCCAACCATTCAGTCTTCCCAAGATAGTATTCTATCAGACGATCTTCTAGAATTCGACGTATATACAGGCAGAGCCAAAAGTTATTGTAACAGTATGGAGAGTGTCATTTCAAATGAATCAGATTGCAAGTCAGCACCCCTAGAAATATTGTTTGAATCTCAGAAGAAAGCTCTGATACCCCATTCCCAAAGTCTACCTAAAAACATTGCATGTCCTTTTGAAGCTGAAATGAGTAGCAGTCTGCCAAAGAATTATCAAGAATTCACTTACGATAGGTCACTTTATAACTATAACTACAGTACTAATAGTAGGTGCGAGGTCACGTATATCCAAGAAGCTCCTAAAATAATCAAGGCTAATGTGAAAACTACTCAGACACAAACCGATTTTGCTACACCTCAAGAAATTGTTACTAAGAAAGCTCAAAGAGGCAGCGAGGAATTTCAGAAGAAGTTATTAAAGTTTGAGCAAAAGAAACCTATAGCATTTTTCGTAGAAACGTGTAGTACTAAGAGTAAAAGTAGCAAAGAGAATGTTCCTGTGAAATCGAAACAGGGCACTGAAATGTATATTCCATCTTTAGCTAGCAAAAACAAACAGTATAAATCAAAGTATTGCAATGTTTTGAATAATAAACCTGAGGTGAATTTTGACATATTTGAAAGCGGCAATAAAAACGGCACCTTTACTTTATCGACAATTAACTTCGAAAAGAATACGAATCATTTACAAGAAACTTCGAGCTTAGATAGACATTTGTTCACAAAAACTTTATTAACTAGTGAGAAAGTGTGCCATAAGCCACCAAAAGCTGTTCGTAGACATAGTTCAAAAACTAGGAAAACTAAAACTACTTATGAATACATTCGAAAAGAGGACTATTATAGCACCAGCTCAAAATGTAATAAAACAAAAGACCTGTTAAACAATCTTACAAATCAAGAATCAGTGACTGACGAAAACACCATAGAATTAAACTATAAAGAAAAAATAGTTGAAAAGGAATTGGAAACTGGTAATCATAAGGATCAAATTTTGAATGAATTGTATGACAGTTTAGATAAAAAGACATTGCACACAAAAATGGATCACGATTCTTTGGAAGTGAACATAAACAACCAAGATACTGAGCAAAAGTTGTATGACAGTTTAGAAGTGAATGTGTGGTCTAAAAGTAGCGGCGTATCAAAAAACACTGCCTTGCAATTAGAAAATGTGTTGAAAAAACCTAGCTCGCCATGCCAGAAAGACAAAATAGCATTCGCCCTGGAAAACATTAAAATCCTCAATGAAATACAGAAGAAGATCCACAAAATTAATACACTTGTGGACATTTTCAAGCAGAACATGACCTCAGGTAAAGTACGGGCTTTATCAAGCATGTACGAGTCAATGACAAGCTCCCAAAGCTACTATAATGATCTCACGAAGCTGCAGGCGACTCCCATTAAATTCAGAAAGAGAAACTTGAGCTTGCCCAGTTTCGTCGAAAGAAGACTGATGGAGGTGAAAAGTACAGCTGAGAAAGTGGAAAATGTCTTAGAAGGTGAATACAAAAATATGTCTCAGCATGATCGATGTCGCCTGCAAGAGTTGAGCTGTACAATTGGCTGTCTGTCATCGTCTATGTCCCCTGACCGTTTAGCATGGTTTTATTTGAACTATTTTTCATTTGCATGGCTTTAGTGGTTAGTTTTGTCTTTTAGCAAATTTACCTTCTGATGACGTCGCACAATAGCTCAAAACAACTTTTCAAATGACAATATTTTATATTCCGGAATTTTTAAATACACCAAACAATAATATATACTAAGTGACATAGCAAAAAGAATACCCCGTAAAAATGAATTTGTTACAATGATTTTATAGGTATATGTTTGTCTAGATTAAGACAACAAACGAGTAGCTTTTCAACCATATGGATAAATTGTTTTTTTGATATCTGCTGTTCATACAAAACAAGTAAGTAAGCGATAGTTGTGTTCTGTAGACAGAATTCGCATTTGATCATCCTAGAATATGTTGTGAAGAGCTGTTTTAATATGTTCATTATGCCTAGAGTAGGAAGTCGAGAAACTTTTCCACAGCTTAGCGAGTTTGATAGGGCGCGAATAGTGGGCTTGTCTGAGGCTGGTTGGTTCTTTAGCTACCAGAATGCCCAAATCTAAGTACTGTGGTGGTTTGTTGTCGGGCATGGAATTGGGAAGGCCGTACACGAAGAGTTAGAGGAATAGAACGTGTCAGAAAAACGGCCTCACACCACTATCGCCGCTTTAGGATTTTGGATCTAAGGGACAGCTGCTTCTCGTCCATAATGTCAATTATGAACCAATGTTTTGTAGAGCATGAAAAGCCTATTACAACGTGAATTCTTTATAGTCGAATCACCAGCTTTGGATTTACTTCATACCCTCCTCAGTTTGTCACACCTCTTACTCCTAGGCACCAAACTAGTAGAATGGCTCGGTTCAGAGAACAGCTGAACTGGGACCTCAAATGGAATACCATTATCTTTAGTGATGAATGTAGATTCTGTTTGTAGATGCATGATGGCCATCCAAGGGTGAGAAGGCGACGAGATGAAAGACGATATTCTCAATTTTCTATGGAAACGCATCTGCGCTGTTGGAATTATGGTATCGGAGGCTATTGCTGATAGAAGCATGTCACCTTTGGTGTTCATCAGAGGCAACATGACCGCCGTCCGTTATATTCAGGAGGTGAAGGAACCACATGTTTTGCCTTATATACGAACACTCACCAACCCACTTACGAATTACGTTTCTCCATTTTGAGGACAATCAAGTCGATTTGTTGACTTGGTCTCTAGATCCTCCGATATTTCACCCCTTTGAACACATCTGGAGACATTATGGGAGGAATATTATTCCGTTTATCTTCCATACACTATAGCACACCGGGACAAGTAGCCTGAGATGAGATATCTCAAGAGGAAATCGATCATCTGATTAGGTGTATGCCCAGACATGTTTCTGAATGCATAAAACAACAAAATTATTGTTTTTTAAATTTTTCTAACCGGCTGGATTTTTATGAAATTTTGATCAATTGTTTATACCTATAACTCTAACCCAAAAAAATGTAATAAATTCATTATTACTGGGTGTATTTTTCCTATGTCACTTAGTATGTTAGGATGGATAGTTCTAAATCTAGTTATGTGGAGACTTTGCATTAAGTGTCAAATTTACAATTATTATAAAAAAGAAAGAAAATTGAAAATCATTTCATATTATAATCCAAATAAAGTGCTTGATATTTTTTATTTGCTGAAATTATTCTATGATGTATGTTATTCACATCTAATTCTATCATATTTATTCCAACTGAAGGTATTCAAATACTTTTGCTTAAAAGTTGTTTAGAGCTCCAAATGTGTTTGACTTCATACTCATATTTACCAATAGTTCCAACCTACTGCAATAAGTAACATTTCAACAATCTCTTCATTATCATATCATTATCCATTCGGAGTTTTAGCTTATAGTCCAATCATATTAGCAAAATTTCCCGAAATACTTGTAAAGTATGGTTTTATTGATGCAAGTTGTTCAAGAGGGTATTTAAAACATGGACGCATAAAATGGGTACACCAATTTTTGTGGGAATACTTTTATTTGACAACAAAGAATGAGAAAACGTTTTTTTTTTTGGGATTCAATCGTAAGTGTTGACAGGAACGAAACAAATTTTGACACTTTTGGTAACGCGACGATAATTTCATGCAACTACCCGAAATTCTCCAAATCCGTAGGATTTCTACTTCTAACTAACAGCAAGAAAATTGGATTACATTGGTCAAGTAGTTTTTTGAGAATTTCTAATTGTTTATCCCAAAACACCTGTTTTTCGGCCATTTCTACTAGTTTATTGAGCAATATAGAGGGTTCGTTCAAAGAGCATTTAATAGCAAAATTCACGTGTTTACCTGGCCGATATGAATCACAAACCATTCCGAAAGATCAATGTTATTTTTATGCCAAAAACAAAGGCTACGTTTTTTTCTTCTAAACAAATTTCGTATTTGTGGGTAATTGAACAAATGCGCTACGATATTCGAAAAACATATGCTACTATACACATTTTAAAACAAAGCGGATGTGTCTATCATCTTTTGTTGCGAATTACTCACAAATACGAGATGTTTGAATTTTCTTAGAAGAAAAAACGTAACCCAACCTTTTTTTTGCATAAAAATAACATTTACCTTACGGAATGGTTTGCGATTCATATCGGTAAGGTAAGTCAGCGTATTTTGCTATAAAATGACCTTTGAACTAACCCTGTATATTGCTCAATAAACTAGTAGTGATGGCCGGAAAACAGGTGTTTTGGGATAAACAATTAGAGATTCTCAAAAACTACTTGACCCATCTACTCCAATTTTGTTGAGGTTATTTAGAAGTACGAATCCTTCGAATTTCAAATATCTGCGAGAAACCATCGACGCATTAGCAACAAGTGCCAAAACCTGCAGTTTGCCTCGGTTTTCGGCCATAACCTTTTTGCTATTAGTCGGATCTTTTCAAGTGTGGTCTCATTTTGTAGGTCTCATCGATACCTAAAAATCTTATATGAAGAGTTTTTTCGTTCCTGCCAACACTTTCGATTGAATTCCAAAAAAACACTTTTTCTCATTCTTTGTTGTTGAATAAAAAGTTTTCCCACAAAAATTGGTGTACCCATTTTATGCGTCCATGTTTAGAATACCCCCTTGAACAACTTGCAGCAGTAAAACCATACTCTACTATTATTTCGCAAACCAGGGGTATTTTCGTCTATGATTATACTATTAAAACAATTATTAGTAAGGCATGTATGTGGTTTTATTAAGGATCACAGTTAACTCAGTGCATTCCTTCCATGAATGGATTGATCTTACAACCCATAACTACGTTGAAATAGCCGGCAAGATATAGTAGAGTTAGTTTTCAAATACAGGGTGGGCTTGAGCGAATTTTAAAAAATCATAGAAAAAAACTATAATCGATAATAAACAGTTGGGTAAGAGTTCGGATTTGTGTGAGAAGTTACAGTGTTTGTGGCTTGATGTGTATGTGATTTTTGCATGTTTTTACAGTGTATATGGAAGAAAGTTCCCCTGATAGCAGTTTGCGTAGGTCATGCAGCTTGAGCGATTTGAGCATGCAGATGCCTGTAAATCCCAAAAGAAAGGTGGAGCAAGGTAAGTCAGCTTACACAAACTTGCATGTAGCATGTTATGGGTGTATCACTAACTTTCAGCTTCCTAGGCTATTTTGTATTCTATATGATTGAATGTGTGAGCTAGTAGTACTACATAGGTTCAACGTTGGCCTTAAAAATAATTATCCAAAAACAATTGTTTTGCTAATTCCTCTTCTATCTTATTCAGATCCGCTGAATCGCGCCATTGTTGAACATATGTGGAAACTAGCTTAGACCATGCAACGTCAAACTTATTCAATCCTTAGAATAGTGGTTATTTATGTATTTTGGGAAACAGTTCCGTTCTTTGTTGTTTATATATTATAAAAAACACTATTAACCTTTTTGTTCTTATGTTGGACCTGCTACAGTTATACAGTTATAATCCTTTGATGTAAAATAAATGCATGGATATCAGGTGCTGTTACAAATCTTTCGCGGGAACATTCATAGTATTATAATAATCTTCTAACTGTTTTAAAATAAGGTGAATGAATTCTTAGCATTTTTGGTGGTGGTATTAAGCTCTGAAACATATACATTAAAAACGAAATTACTTATGCATTACGATTATATGGTGGTTGTCTTTCCATTTTTAGAGACAAGCCATGCAAATACTTATAAATGTAATTATTATGTAATATATAAGTGTGCCTGCATTCATTGCTCTGAAATCATTACTTGAATACATTACTAGAAACATAGTATAAATGAACATAATGTACTTTTTTGTGATTCATCATATTTGAAATCGTTTAAGCAAAAAACAGTATAGTAATCAGTTTCAGGGAAGAAAAATAATGCCATATCGAGAAGCAATTCGCGATACAACAAAAATAATTCCATAACCAGGAGTAGGTCCAGCACAGTACTAAATCAGTCCGATTCGGATCAGGAGAGCGCAGAAAAAAAGATCAACAGGCTAATGAGACCTACTATTAGCTCACACAACAAAATGAGCAATAAAACACTACAAAACAGGAAGAAACATTCATACTCCACTAGTAAGTCACCAAATAGGTCATAATAAATTACTCTATAAATTCGATTAAATGAAGTACATGCTTTCATTTCAATCACTCGTTTTTTTTCTCCCAGAAAGTATATTTCTTGCCAGGTCAAATCTTTGCATTTAGGTAGATGCTAGTAGTACATGTATAATATTTTTTTTAAATTCTCAAGGCTAGTGTATGGAATGAAATGTGTCTTTTGGGCCAACAGATTATTTTTCTGATAAAATATGTTCATTCAATTTTCTTCCAGTTGAATTTTGCTCTTATTGATCAAGTTATATGTTCATTGATTTTATATACAAAAAAGTATTTGCATAGCATAATATGCATTATATAAGAGTGTTTCTGGGTTATAGGAAGTTGTTATTGAAATGTTTGCCATGTGAAATAACTCAAATATTATGAATTCGTGACTCAGAAACGTTTTTATACCACTATCTCATCTAACACTACACATTCATATCAGGTAACATAAACACCATTGGTACAACTGAAAACATATCAACGTCAGACGAAGAATCACCTACTGCTCCGCCTAGAACTAGAAATTACGACCATGGTCCACCCGCCATCGCACCACGAAGACATCTCAACAATAAAGAAAAAAATAGAGGTAATTTCCCTTTATATGATCCTTATATAGCTTTGCTTCAAAATTATAATGATTGTTACAAAAAAATTTGTGAATTCCGAGCAACGTTCTCTTTAATTACGCATACCGGCAGGGGTTAGAGGCAATGCAATATCGAGATTCTCAAACATTTTGCATGAATATTCATTTTAGTACAGATTCGGAATTCAAAAATTTTACGATATTATTTTTGCATATTATTGCTTTTTTATCCTAGATTTAACTGCCCCATTTGTGGTGAAAATTTATCGATATCTGATGGATCTTTAAACAAAACAGATGCTATGTTTCGAGTACTGAGCGCTTTAACGTTTGAACGTGGTAAATGTGATTAGCATCTGAAGACAGAAACCCAATACCAAAATACAATTTTTTACATTATATTCATTATTATCAATTCCTTACACCGAGCATTTTCTGCTAGCAAGGAGAAAGTCCAACCACATCAGGTTCAATCTGTAGCAGGATGAGATTTGTAAGCAATTACCGTGCAAATGTAGCATTTTGAATAGTTGAATGCTATGTAACTTAGAGACAAAAATAGAGATAACTTGGTATTGACTGGACATATTTTTACTGCTTCTAGATACGTAGACTGTCTCTTTCGAAATATTCCTGTGTACTATTTGTGAATATTAAAAACGTTAATATTTATCTATACGTATATGCTATTTTCTCTCAATTAAATTGTTTGGAGGTGGAATCTGGTATTCGTATGTTCCATTATAACATATCAAAGTAGCAAGTACGAGTTTCATGCAAAACATATTTGTTGCCTAAATACTCATCCATCATTTCCCTATGAAATGTGCAGAAACATTGTTATCCCTAACTTCATTTTTACCACAAATACCTGCTTCACCAATATCCACAGTATCGCTAGTCGCATAACCCACTGATTTTTTGTAGCATATCGGCATACCATACATTTCGATGACACACTAACAAATGAGGACTTCGAGTCACACGAGAGCTCTTCATCAGTAGAGTGTAAGTGTAGGTCACGCCTTACATAGTGTAGTATGTACTTAAACCATTGACTAACCCATATTCTACCAGAAGATACCCCTCTATTAATTTAAAACCGTGCTTACACGAAAAAGGCTTATATGCTGTGAGTGCCTGCGCAACAGTAATAATTGATTAGCTGGTTATGTACAAATTCATTGCCACTGACGGAATAATTAGTAATTATTGGTGGTATGGACTAAATAGTGATCGTGTGACATTTTTAGATCATTTGAGGTGATAGCACTGCCACCTCTCAGGACTAATGAACTAGATTCATGGGCCTTTTTGGCCCACTTCATTCATTTAATTTTTTTTTTGTGTTATACATGTTAGTAGTTAACTTTTTTTTCTTATAACAATGATCCCAAAATAAACTTGTGATGACGTTGCGTGGGAAGTGCAGAGTCAACCTACTTGACGTCATTTTTTTTTTTTCGTTGCTGAGAAGATGAAATCTTAAGAATAATTACGGGCGGGTTTGAGGGGTAAGAGTGATGTCATGTTTGAGAATATTCAATTTCTTTAAAAGGAAAATGTAGTCTGTTTTTATTAATTCAAGAGAATTACTAGGGCAACATGGCTATGGCAATGAAAATTGTATGTGAACGTCCAAGTACAGCATATGTTTGGGCATCTTCTTGGAGAATATTATGTTAATCAATGGTTATACAATACAATTAGGCAGTAACATAATAACGTGATGAAACACATTTGTAGTTAAGAGAGTAGATTAGGTATCACAATTGTAGTGAGGATAATATGTTGCCACCGTCACTGTTTTAAAGCGACAATTTCTCCTTTCATTTTTGTCTCAGACAGGAGATGTGTGACTGTGAAGTAGCCGAAATTACTCCATTTTTACTGAAGGTGTCGTGGTGTGGATACATAACATATTAATCATAATGAAAGGGCACCCTAATCTGACACAATATAACCAAGACTCTGCATTTTTATTCACAATGTTACGGCGTACATGACATTCATCACGCTGATTTTGCGAAACTGTAACATCATTTGTCGCTTTAGGAGGGGTGGTAAAGATATATCTAATAATGTACACCAAGTTAGTGCATTATTCCATTTTTCTATAGTATCAAATCAACTGTGTGATGACCTAGTGGACCAGCTCACTACAACAGCAGAGAAGGTAGTCAAACTCTACGATCGCCTCAATGATGATGAGGAACGTACCGACTCACAGATGGATCGTATAGACAAAGTAAAAATGTCCATGATCCGAACACATAAGATACTCCATGACTGCATCTTTAAGGAGCTCAAGCAGAACCACGGAGGTAAGTAAAATGTGAGTTAATGCTTATGTTTACTTGCACCCAGCTACTATGAGCTAGTGCTGTGTGAAGTATGGCTTAGCTCAGTTGCTGAATATCGGTCGACATTATCTAAATCTATTAACAATCAGTACAATTGCATAACTTCTATTAAGCAATCAGAAGGTTTTCAGAATTTTAAAATCGCCCGTTTTCAGATAACATCTAACAGATTAGGCTAAGCCATACTTAAGACAGCACTAGCTAGCTGCAATTAAACGTACCCATTGTCAGAACCATCAAATGAATGATCAATTGGTATCCTATCAATGTGAACTCCCCAAGACTGGCCTGCTTAGCAAAGTTACGTATGTCTTTGAGTCTCGTCTCTTTAACAGCCAGAGGATCCAACATAATGGACTCCAGTATAGTCTGTGTGTAGACCAGGTAAGGACGTTTTTGCCAGGACACCATTGCAGAGACTGCAAACCAATGCCCACTTCAAATTAGATAAATATATAGTTATAAAACCTATGGAGTTTTTCAAAAAGTTCGTCGAAGCGGCTGAGCACCATCTTGGAACATTTCTTTTAAAGCTTTTTATAAGTACTTGATCATACAAACATACTATGATCTTTCAAAATGGCAAACTAGCAGGCTATCAAAGTTGAGAGTTTTTGTGCATTGTTATAACACAACAACCAATCCTCAAAACTCTATAGTATATATCATTCGTCTTCTTTGGAAGAATCTACCCGAATGTGTCATATAATATGGAACATTACATTTGAAAATTTATTTCAAAACGTAATTTTTTTAAACTAAGCGCCCCATATTTCATTGCGCATACAGGCAGACCCTCCCAAAAAGAAGAAGATTGATATAACTGTAACGTTTGGATGATTTATTGTTGTGCTGTAAGTGAATTAGTTCACAGAAAAGCTCTACTTTTACAGCCCGTAAGTCCGGTCATTTTTCAAGAGCTTATATTCTAGCGTTCTTATCTACTGATAAGGAGCTTAAAAATGAAATATCACACCCCTCATTTGATTTAAACGATGGTCTAGGATGGCGCCCAGCCGCAATCCTAAACTTTACAACTGTTATCCTTACGTTATAAATTGTTATATAGGTATATGCTTCAATGTCACCTATCCGAATCTCTGTTAACTTCATCCGTGTTCTGCAAAAAAAATAACTACCGGTAATTTTATTTCTAAAGCATTTGATTTTTACCTTATACCCTTTCAATGAAATTGTAGAAAACATTTTCGAGAAATTTTGAAAAAAGTAATCCGGGTTCCTGATTATATTCCTTTTTCGCAGGAGTGGACGTGAATCAGACTGACACAGTGAAAAAACTGAATGATTTGGTATCTAAAGGCGCCAGTGGTCCGAACTCAGTGATAAACATCATGGAGCAATATTCAGACATATTGCTGGACATGGTGCAACAGAAAATACACAATTCCAATATTTGACATCCGCTCAGTGTCAACTTTGAGTTGAACTGTTGAAAAACATTATGCGATTATATACGGTTTGCTACAGTTTTGATTACTTCTAAATTAATCCACAACTCTCTATTCTTGCTCATGAAGATTGAAGAAATTTAAAGCATCAATAATATTTCCATATTTTAAGTGTGGTTAATTTAGTATTAGGTAGTAAATTGTAGCAAATCCACTACAAAGTGGAAGTTTTGAGTGAAAGTCGGAGTGACGTGCGTCCCAATAGTAAACATCAGAAATAGAATGCCACTCAGTCTGAGCTCTTATACTGTGATTCTTTCAAGACATTTTATCCCTTGCTATTTATATGTGCAATTCACACAAATTATTATGTACTTACTACATGTTAGCCGTTATACAAGTTACATTAGAACAGGGTGTTTTAGCACACTGCTTCAGAGAAAAGGGGGTAAGTTTGTCTGCAGGCTATCTCACCATCATCATGTAGGGTGTAGGTTACATAGATAATGAACGATCATAGTGTGTACTTTTTGTTATTTGGAAAATTGGTCTGCTGATAAGTGCTATCAATCCTTTATATTGTTAAAGTGTGGCATGACCCTGTACTTAGACTGACAAAATTAAAATGATACTTTGACAATTTTGCTTTAGCCGCTGTAAGTCTATACCTTTAGTTGGATTCTCAGAACCACTGTTGTTAGTTACACCTTCAGAAATCAATCACAAATATTATAATGTCTGTTAGATGCTGTCAGTGAACGAAGTGTACAATGTGAAGCTCAATTACTTGCTGTTTTTGGGCTTATTGGCCGTAAGTGGTTTTAACACCCTATAATATCACATGTTATAAAGCTAATTGGACAAGTATCGTTTTGATTTTGAAATTTCACCAGAAGTGACCATAATAATTTGTATGCGAGTTAACAGATTATTATTTATAAAAGCCATCGATTTTATGTATTATATTTTTTTATCAGTGTCAAGTGATGTAGCTTTCTTTTATTTACAAAGCATTGTTAAGTATGGTTTGTTAAAAAATTAGTAGCAAATTGGATAATAGTAGATAGACAGATATTTGATATCACTGTTGCCAGCCACACAAATACAATCAGATGACCATTTTAAATTCTAAATTCATAGACTTCTAACGATTTGATGTCTTACAATGCATTTTTTACTCAGTTGATTCTCGTCATGCTTATATAAGTGCTAATGTTAAAAGTGATTACAAATCCCGAACTAATATAACTGACAAGATATCATCACTGAATATTTATATCAAAATAATTATCCTGCAATTTGTTCACATTATGAAAAACGACACTGTATTTTTCTTTTTTTAGTAAAAACAACATATTTAGAGCTTAGAACTGCTGCTTTTACATTTTTTCTTAAATCATTTTATACAACAAAGGAATTCGTTCAATACCTGAAAACACAACGCGCGTGATTGGCGAGATGGTGTTGCTATTTATTTGCTCTGCACTTGTTAAGTGGCTAGCAAATATACAGCATTCAAATATTATTCCGATATCTGATCTATAGGAATGTTTATTATTTTTGTAAATTTCAATTTTTGAATACGTGTGGTTCATGCTACTAATTTTAAATGTATGTTATGTAAAAAAAAACATTCCATGATAGTCGGCTGTTTCCGTAATAAATGTACTGAAAGGGCAGTATCGCCAAATCTACGAAATTTGTTGTGGTATGTCATCCATGTGTTATACCAAATTAGGCTAATTTTAGAAACAATTATCGGAATTTTACAAGGAATTTTTATCGCGGAATTGTGGCGCTTCCTTTATTTGACCTTTATAGTAGTCCTGGAATTATGCAAAAATATTTACTCCTTATAAAACATGCTGGATATTAACAGGGATTTCTATATGTTTGCTCTTTTTCAATAAACGAGAACATACTTGGAGGAATGCAATAGTTGTCAACGTCAATCTGTCAAAATATTTTGCAAATCAGCAGCTAATAAATTTGAAGTTGCAACTATTTTTTGAAGTATCTTCACCTTTGAACTGTCGTCATTTTTTATAATATTTATACTAAACTGAAGTTAATTTCCAGCATTTTATTCTGTCCATTACTACCGTCTTTAATGTTTGCAACAATTCCAGAGAAACTTTATAGTGTATTTTACTAATTATCTTTCCTGTGTAACTGAAATATCCTAATGCGTCTAGTATTTGTATAATAATTATGTTAAATATGCTAACAACTTGACAATGTGAATTGTTTCTGTGTATAGTGTATGTTATTTAATGTTAACTTTTTTAATTTTTTTTAGCATATGAAACCGTCAATTTTATGATAAGCTCATCATTATGGTAAACTAAAGATTCGTAACCATCAGACTGTATTAATAATTGTAATTTCCTAATAAATAATTACAAAACCTTTTTTTTTTTAGTTTAAGTGGTGTAATCTTCAAGCTCAAGCTTTAGTATATTAGACACTGGTTTGAGATAAGTGACGATTGTTATTTAACTTTAACATGGCGTTTTTTAGTTGAATGTGTGTATACAGGGTGTTCCGTACTTAAATGGACATAGAATGTATGTATTTGAAAATAAGAGTGCTAAATTCAGTTTTTACAGATTTATCTAAGCACATCAAATATTTAATATCACATATCTCAAGCACCCTTGAACCGATTTTATTGAAATGTTGCATGATAACAAAGCTGTCTAGGAGTAACGTAAAGCTAGACGTCTGGTTGGAAAATCCTGGGCGGAATTCAATTTTTGTTTTTTTTTTTCAAAATAACAGCTTTTAAGCTGAATAACGGGCATGGCGCTCTTACGTAACGGCCAATGTTTAACTAAATAATGTTGGATTCTGGCTCTGCTGCCCCAATCACATGAAAAAAAAATATTTTGTGAAGCCAGACCTGTGAGCGATGCAATAACTTTGAGATCGGCTTTGATATTCCACTTATGATATTTTATGGTTTGGAATAATGTGCACATGTTCCATATCTACAGCATGACCAACGGGCACTGATAGCCGTTTGTTTCCATTGAACAACAAAACTGCCCTTAGACTTGTGTTCGAAGAGTCAATAAATAGTCGCCACTCTGTAGGTACATAGGAAATGCCAAGTTCAGTAAACATGGAATATCATGACAGTGAACTAAGTCATTTTCCATCAAGAAAAATACAGCCAGTATAGACTGCCTGTTCGGAAACGTGAAAATTTTCACACCTGTTTGTAAAATGTTCCATTACTGCAAACGAGATCCAAGTAGTTGTGTTTCTCTTTTGGAAATCTAAATCATGAGCTAGATCATTGAGCTCTTCTTGAGATATACAATGTGTCTGTTTGCTGCTACTACATTCGAGAACGACTTCCTCTTCAAAACTTGCACTGGGTTTTGGCCCCTCTGTGTCAGAATTATCTGGTTCATCATATTTATTCGGAGGCTTAGGAACAGGTATGCTAGAAGAGTAATGAGCTACAGGTCTACTGGCTGGGGATATTAGGATACACTATTTTATACTTGCTTTTACAAGAAAATACCAGAATTTTTGTTAAGCAAAAGTAACAATCATCAACATGATTTTTCGGTTCTCGCCAAATCATTGGCATTCAAAATTTCATAGAAGTGAGAGTACCCCATAGTCTTCTTGGTACTTGAGCAAGTGCGGCAGCATGTTTTGGTTCACATAGGATAGCAACGGCATTGCTTTGTTCGTATATCCACTGCTGAATACTGTAATGCTGATCCTTCCACAAGTGGCTGGCTGCTTATATACCCATTTCGAACATCTGATATATTCTAGAAACAGCGGGAATCAAGAGATCGGAAACGACTTTTGTATACAGGGGCCATTCAATAAGTAACAGTCCGACGACTATAGGGTACGGTGAGATCTGGAATTACATGGGGTTCAATAGGTACCTTCTTTATTTGAAGCTCTAGCCGTGCGGTGTTGCCAGATTGTACCTACTTTCCCTAGACTAAGATAAAACGTAGACTTGGCAACGTCGTACCACATTATGCTATAGAAAGATAAATATCGCACATTCTTACACCTGCAGAGTACACCTGCTTAAAGCATATTGTTGGTACTCTCTGGACTCCATTACGTGATACGACAATTTAAAGGTCGGTGTAAGGGTTAAATATGTAGAACTTATCGAAATAACGTATTTGTTTGGCGGATAGGATTTTTGTGCAGAACAGATTATTTTTATTTACTTGACATATAGTAAAAGCATAAAACAGTGTACTATTCACATTTCTAAATGACTGTCTTGCAGATTCGAAAGATGTGTAGAATAAGCTAATTCAATAAATAAATAGACAACACACAATAGACGATAGGCAAATAATCAAAAAGCTGTCTCCTGAAATGAGACTCTGATAATTGTCATGATTTTTTACAGTCATAAACCCAAACAGTATCAATACCATGTCCAATAACTGTAGAAGGTACCATGTTTGGCAAGGGAAATCTGCATGCTATAATCTTACAATCAGACTTGCATTCTTTCAAGATTTTCTTTTCCAAGTCGCCCATCTAAAAGAAAAACAAAATGAGTCTTTTAGAAAAAACTTCATATGTATTTCATAATTTATAAACTGCATGGATTTGAAATACCACCACTGGAAACTAACTGTCTAATAATAGTATGAAAAACATAAGGGGGCTGCATTTGCATCTCCTCTAACTACATGTGGCACACACGAATTTGAAAAAGTTTAATATGAAAAACTTACCATTTGCTCTACACCAAAAATGACAACATTATCATATTTTGAGATATCATATTTCCATAGATCTTTTCTATAAAACTTTGTTTTATCTGACAATCCTTTTCTAAATGCATCAAATTTTGAATAAGCCACTAGCCATGGATTCAGCTCCACACCATGTGAAATGAACTTGTTTTTGGCAGCATCTACAATCATTTTACATTAGTCAAATATACCAATAACAATATGGTTTTAAATCTTTATTTTCAGTATCCTTTTTTTTCCTATCACATAATCTGGTTACTTTTTGGGTTATCTCAAGTAATAGACTACTTGCAATGTTTCAATAAGCAATGAAAAATACACATACCACAGAGTCAGTAACCAGGCCAATACTGGTAGTTGGACGAGATGCATATTATTGGAAGTAACCTGAATATTTGAAATTGTATTATACTTGCTGGTAATCAGTATCTGGTCTACCAACGAACAAAAATTCACAAGACAGTATACAAAACTGTTACATTTACATTCACCATCTTGGCAGCAGTTTTATTGAGCCAAAAATAAGCAATCAACTCTTCCAATTTGTAGGATGTGTAGTGACAGTAATTTTAAAGGTAAGCCAATATTGTATGACCAATGGTATTGAAAAAGATTCTTAGCATTCCAATAGTCGGCCACTGCCATTTTCACATGATTTTGAGAATGGATACCAAGATAAAAGTAAAATCTATATACAGGGTGTCCGCAATGTTGGGGTTTTCCTTTTCAGAAACAACTACCCTTGAAATAACAAAGGTAATGTGTAGTGAAACGAGGGCGACCAAGTAAAAAAAACAAAGGAAAAAGTACTCACTCTCCAGTTGACGAGAAGGGCTAAGTACGTCTCTGCCCGAAATCATACTGCTCCAACAGAAAATGAAATCAGCTGAAGCGCTACCGAGCAGACGCAGAAACCACATTGATTGTCTTACACTTAATGGCACATCTTCTAACAAGGAAGGCAAAATGTTGCGTGAAAAGTCTAGGTATTGCATCCCGTCCAATAGATTTGGGAGAATAAATGGTCCAATGAGCATACCGTTCACCCAAACATTCACCGAAAATGTTTGTTGAAAATGACCAAACATGAGTGCTGCGAAAGTTATTCACCCCATTACGCGTGAATGTAGATTCGTCTGTCACCAATATGCACTTCAAAAAGTCCGGATTATTGTCATGTTGATGCAACAACCACTCACAAAACCGCACTCTTGCTGGAAAATCGTCAGGTTGAAGGGCTTGTACACGTTGGACGTGAAACGGATACAGCCCCTCTTCACGCGTTTGCCACACTTTAGTTTTTGATACTTGCACTTCTCTAGCCACGTCTCTAGTGCTTGTTGTTTTTTGAAACGCAATTGATTATACGAGTTCGTTTACCTCTACACACGTGACTGTAACCGTCGGTTGAAGGTTGCATACTAACCTGACACACTGACCCCGACCCAGTTCTGCCGTCAGGTTGAGACCTTGTACCAGTCGGGGTGTCAGAGGTATCCCGGCGGGTCGCGGCTACAGGACGGTATTCAGATATTTTTGATGTTGCAGAACCCTTTATCTCGGTTCCCTTAAGACATTGGTGTATATGGTACTAAGAAAAATTGCTTATGTTTTCAAGATCTACACGTCGTGTAAAGGAAAACCCCAACTTTGCAACACCCTGTATATTGTGAAGGCAGTTGAAGCTGTGAGAAATGTTGGGAAATTGGATGAAATATGGTGATATGGTAATATTAAAACATTTCAATATCAATGTATTTAATTTCTTTTCCTGCCTGTTGTAATATGGCTTACTTCAATTTTCTAATCTATTATCACAAGTTGTTAAAGTCCTGTTTAAAACGAGCTGATATCATGCACCTACCTGGTTGACTACTAGCATGTTCAGTGTGAGGTATTAGTACCTTTTGAGTTACTATTTTACATTTACAGCAATATCTAAAGTTAACAAGCTATAAATGACCACCTTCAAAAGCATTTGTTCTTAAAAAGAAAGTACTAAAGTTATACATTAAACTTCATTTTTGCCTAAACTGTCCAACTACCAGCTTAGTCACCCTATGTGGGAGCTATAAGAGACCAGTCTTACCTCTAATAGTAATTTTATGCAAATATAATTAATTTGATCAAATTTAACCATGGATAAAACTTACGTAAAACTATGCGACCATCTCCTGACCCAAGATCTAACACAGTGCCTGTTCTGCCTTTCAGACCATTTAAAATGTTCTTGATTTGTTCATTTGTTGCTGGGATGTAAGGTAAGCAGAATTTCCTTAATGCAGGACTTACAAATGGTGCAAAAATTGCTGTTAAGCCTATCGCTAAACCACCTGAAAAATGGATATTGTTAGTGTTAACTGGGTATACGATCATGATAGAAATGTATTACCAGTCACACCAAGCAAAATTTTTCCAGCTATAGGTTTTATTGCTGCTTTTTCCTGATTATTTGCACTGATGGACAGGATATCCATTGCTCTATCTAAACACGTATCCAGTTGAACAGAAATAAAATGCAAAACAGGTACTGAGCCGAGGGTATTATTACTCGTTCGACCTGAATTGCATTCTGAATTTTTTCCAAAAAATTCCAAGGAAGTTCCAAATTGATACAAATAAACAGCAAACAGCTGATTTGAAGAGGTTATGGTTATGTCAAAGTATGTTAGTACGTCATTGCCAGATCAATAATTTACACTTTACGTTTTATGGAATTGTGAAAAATGATGAAACAGAAACCTTTAACAGGATTCTAGTTTTGTTTAACCTGTATTAACTTTATCTGTCGTGATCTACGTTTGATTAAAAACCAAGGAATTTCCGCACTAAATCGCCAAACAACAATGACACTTCTTCATCTAGGATCTTGTCCAAGAAAATTTTAATGTGGCTGGCAACAGTGTGTTGTTTGCTATTAAAAACTAACCTCAAACTTGAAAATATTTGTGATGGGAGTTTCTAGTTTATATTTATAATTTGGTGGTTTACAATTTATCTTTGCCTTTGAAGTTTTGGAAAATAGCAGTGGTGGATAGCAACTGTCGTAAAAACATATCAGAAACATGAATGTCATCTTGTACAGTAATTTGGTGTCTTTCATCAGAGAATACAAAGGGCTTTCACATGATTGCATGAAAGCTCTAGTTAGTAGATTTCCAGAACAGAATTATGACACCATAAACAGCATTCTCCTGACAGAATACCAAAAACGCATGAAGCTGAATCACATCAAGACACAGACAAATAAAGCTCAATACTTTGATTTTTATCAGAAGGCTGTAGCAAATTGTGAAAGTCCAGGTATCATACTACGTATGGCAAAACACTTTGATATCGCTCCATGTTTGATAGCTAAATTGATTCTAGCACAGTATTTCGAACTTAATGGAAGTGCTGATCAAAGTAATTTGAACATTTATCTTAGGGATACTAAATTACTAGATGATATGGATTTATCATATGAAATACATTTATGCACATTATATGACAATATATACAGGTAAGGGAATAGAAGCAGTTATTATGAACGTACATTTTTGTATAGAGGTGTTCTGAAAGCACAACAGCCTCCACAACTTTTGATGCTTCACCTGGATTTTAGTTTGTTTCCATTTTATTTCTTCTTAAGAAAATATTAATTTTTGGTGTTTTGGGATGACATAGCCTTTTTCTTATGTTTTTTGTCAATCCTTGCACCAAATCTGCACAACTTTCCTGTTTCCACTCATGCAAGGTGTCACTGAATGTCTGCATTTCACATCCATATGTTAATACTGAATCAAATGTTGAAGATTATGGCATTTGTTCATACTATTACTTCTTTTTTTTGTGATAAATGTTAAGTACATTCAAGAAGCACTACAGTTTCTCTGCCTTTTGTGTTTGCACCGATTTTAGTACCAATATTTTTTGAGCTATTACTATGTCATTCAACCTGAAGTCTATTTCATGTTCTTTCTTACTTATTAGTTATTATTAGGATCTGACCAATGTGTCAGTTTCAACCAGTCTAAAAGATGGACCTTCAGCCACACATTTAGCCTTCAGCCAAAAATGATTCTGTCCAAAGGTTTTGAAAACCCACTAAGTACATCTGAGAAGTTTTGTGAAAATATAGTATGGAGGCAGTAATGTAAATTATTTAATCTAATTGGAACAAAGGTTTAAGTATTCATAACCATTAAATATAGCTAAATTCAAAGGAAGGTACATTGCAGGGATGCTGGCAACTCACTTTTTCGATTCATCTCACTTTTAATCACTTTTCATTGAAAACATTCACTTCACTCTCACTATTTTCGCTCTGATTGTACGTACGTAGTCTATGAGGCTTCACAAAATTATATGAAGTGAGCTTTTTTTTTTATTTATTCAATGTACAGGGTTCTCCACAAGCTGAGCCAATATGTATTATATAAGAAATTACTAGGATTAGTTGAAATCTACATCGAATTTTAATTGCTAAAAGCACTCCATATATTATGTATAGACACTAGGGATTTCAAATTCGAAAATGGTAAGCAATACAATACAAGTTACAAAATTACTCTGGTTTCCCTTCAAAGCGAATAAATCTTTCGCCTTTTACTAAAGTTATGAAATTAGGTAAATGATAAAATGTTACTTAGATAGTTTGGCAATTCAGAGTAATTTCTGAGCAAAACAGAAAATATGAATTTACCCTGAACCGTTTTCATGTCCTCCTGGATTAATTTGAGCTGGAATTTCAATACAAATGCATTAACAGTGGCACTTTTTACAAGCCTTGCACAAGTAATTGCATATTAGTTCGTTTGTGGCATAAACCCTGAAACTGAATTTTGAACCAATTAACTTTAACTAATGGGCTGAAATTTTGTATGCTTGTCTGTGCCGCCATTTTGAATTTAATATGGCATATGCTTCATAATGGCGATTTATCCTTTTTCCATAGTATATGATATGGGTATCAAATGAAAAAGCTTGATGAGAGAAACTCAATAAGCAAACTGACTTCATTCTAAATAAAATATGATGGAGGCCGCAATTTGGAGAGTTATAATTTCCGTAATTACCCCTATGATATGGGCATCAGATAAAAGGCCTTGGGACTTGGGAGAAATACAATGAGCAAAGTGTCATTCCAAAGCAAATATGTCGACCGCCGGAAGATGGCGTTTATAATTTCTATAGTTACGTCTATGATACAGTAAGAACGTGACGCCCTTCCAGATCCAATATGGCGGCTGCCGCTAAATACTGATTTATAATTTCCTAGTCCCCCTATATTGTGGATTACTAATGAAAAGGATTGATGAAAGGAATACAGTAAGCAAACTGACGTCATTCTAATCAAATATGGCGGACGCCTAAATTGACAATTGACAGTGCAATATTATGATATGGAGTTGATCTGATGATGAAGCCAGGAACTGGCCATGGTAACCCATTGAAAAGAGCCTTGCTTGATTCCTAATGACAAGTACTGTAGGCTTTTTTACACTTTTCAACATTAGTTCGCTAATCATATAATAGTTCAATCAATTGGGCAATAATACTTAATTTGGTCCCCCGCATTTACAAGACTTGCTTATATTTTTTATATTCCATTTATGCATCCTATGCACTTGATCTTAAAATATGCATACATATGAATAATTCTATTTGCTAATGTCAGTAAAACAGTAACAAATACTTTATATGAGTTATTTTCGTTTTTTGCATGGAGTTTCATTTATATTATCCGTTCAAATTTGTCATGATATTCAATTTCTCAGAAAATCAACTCGCCTTTTTATGTATAAATTCACTACTTTTTTTGAAATCACACTTTTCTCACTTGAATATGCTTTGGGCTGCCAGCACCCTTGACCTTGGCAGTCCCAGATTTAATGTTTAGCAAGATATTTTCTTGGAAGGTATACTAATGTTTTATGAAATCAAAATGGTGAATTTTAATCCTAAATTTCCGCTTTGAAGCTTGTATTCTACAGGCCACAGCATAAATGGCATGATGGATTTTGACATATTATGATGTGTGTTGAGATTTGTATGGCAGCGAGAGTGATATAGGGTATACTAAAATGTTATATAATGGAAATTCACGGCACATCTCCACAATTTAGATGTAGCAAAGTAATTTTTATGAACGTTTTGAAAATAAAAAAAAAACACCACTTGTTGCTTCAGAAATGGGTACCGTATAAGATATAGTTTACTTCTTAAGCAGAAGAGTATAGTAACATTTTACCTAATATTAACAAGCTTGGATGCAGTATTAGAACTAAGTTGACCATTTATCAGGAACAGGGCCAATGACAAACGTTCGTTATTCTACACTTTATTCTTATAATTCAAACCATATTTTTTATTAACCAAACATTCGGCTAAAATCCGAACATTGGCATCAGCCAAAAGAATGGACCCTATTTGTTATGTACATAACAAGAATTGACATCTATGCTTTCAGTCCTATAACTGAAGCAATAAGAGGCTCACTTGGACAACAGTATGAAATAGAACTCTGCAAGAAAGTTAAGGAACTCAACTTGGCATTCAGGGATGAAGAATACTTACGTAAGCAAGGATATGATAAAACCCCAGACTGCAAGTTAGATGTCCCAATAGTAGTAGATGGTTTTATTGTGAATTGGATTGAGAGTAAAGCAATCTTTGGAGACAAAGAGGTACATAAAGAGTACATGAAGAATCAATACTTGAGTTACTGGAATAGGTTTGGACCAGGATTAGTGATATACTGGTTTGGTTATTTAGAAACTATTGTAGAGCCAAATGATAAGAGGTTTATAATAAGGGACAGTTTTCCTGAAAGTGTAATATGCATGCCACCACCTGATTTTGAAATGGAACATTTTAATGAGCTTAATATATGATTGATAGTTGAAGAAAACTTGGCAGAAAAACAGATTTTAAGGAAGCTCATGAGCAAGTGACCTTTCCAGAAAAAGAGGAGGCATTCACTTGAATGATTCCATAATTATATATAGTCATGGAATTCTTGGTTTACAGCTTTCTAAATTAAATTACAATTAATGTATAAAAGCATGTCTAGAACATTTTGGGGTGGGAAACTCAATCAGTCAAAAAAATATAGTTAATATATTTGATGACTCCTTTTAGATTTTTTATATACTGCTTTTTTTCCAAAACTCGGTTGTTTACTCTCAACATTAGTACATACATGTATATGTATGTTCAAATATCCAAATAGTTTGCCAAAGCTGATACCTGTGGTCAGTCTTGCTATGTTATGTCTATCTCTAGCACATATGGAGGCAACAATTATTGATGAAAAGCATCCAGTGGTGATATATTCCTCTGAAAGATTTTGTATAGTCCAGGTTATTTTATAATAAAATTCTCTAATTTTTGATGCAAAATTTATTGTATACCTTGAACAAGAAACATTAAAAACTAAAGCAGCTATCAACGATAAACAATATATTTAACAAAAGAGATAAAAAACCTACAGCTAGATTTGTAACATGTTAAAAACCAATAATAAAAAATCCCAAAATAAAATATACAATAATGAACGATATTTTAAACTCTAACAGTGTAAAAAACTGAAATATTTGCTTTAAATGAAGTATTTTTTAAACTGTTGTGTTCTTTACAGTAAAATTACTGCATTCTTTCTTATGATAGAATTTGAAAATCAATCACAGTCAGTTAGGATTGTAGACCGTGAACATTTTAATCATTGCTACTGAAGTACACTTAATGAGATAAACATTTTTTTAATTTTCAGTAGCACTGTCTGAAAGTTGAGTTTGACTCAGGTCCTTCGAGCCTGTATTTACATTTTGTAAATGTATATATGTATCTAACATAACAAAGAATATACCAGAGCACTCATAACTTTTTCTACTCCAAACAAAATTCTAATCATTACCGTTAAAGCAATAAAAACAAAAAGAAGTGAAGCAAACGTAATCATGCCATCTTTCAGTTAACACACTGTTTATCCTTTATGCTATAATATATTTCTTTTTCTGGAAAATAGATATACACACTAGCGACATGATTAACTCATTGAACTCAACATTAGCCAGAAAGTGTGTTTTATTCATCAATTAATGTTACACCTACACACTTAGGTTGCAAAATTTTGGATAAGCAAAAAATGTAATAACCTGAGTTGAAAGAAACAAAACTTGTAAATTATAATCAACACTTGAAGCGAATATTGTTATTATAAAGTCCACCCACATATATTTTCAAGACACTTGGAAAACCTGGTGATCCCTAGGTCCAAATGCGCTCTACTTGTACCCTGACACCATCTTACACTTCGCTGAAACACTCGAGCTTCATCGTTGATCTGTTTTTGGAATTAACTTTCAGATGATTATGATGAAGCTTGACTCGACAAAAATCACTGTATCCCGGTGATTAGATTAGTACTTTGCGAGTATTTAGGTACACGTTAAAACTATGCATGTCATTAGTCCGTGCAATTAGGAACATCTGATTTGGTGGCCTAGTAATCTTGATGCGGGAATCATGTCACCACAAAACTCACAAGGAAGCTCTTCTTCTGCATCTCTTTCTGCTTGTTGTTCTGCTGCTCGCTCATCGAAGTCTGGAGTTCGTTGACGTCTTCTATATCTACAAATCATAATATAACATAAGAAAAAATACACCTGTGTCGTCATTGATTTGAGATTGAATAAAGAAATCGCTAGAAAGTCTATAATTGCTATGAACTCATCAATATTTGGGTTTGCGAGCCAGCCGCGGCACCCGTATTTCCGAAATCATCTATGATATCGTTGTAGTCACCGTTCATGGCCGGTCAAAGTAAGACTATTCAAATACCAGAATTCATGCCACTAGCAGAAGTTAGCGTGCGCCACTGCTTTGACGCTGTACCTTTTGATTACAGCGACGTTTACCGACATTTCACAAAGAAGCGCCGCATTTTCGAAGGCCTCCGCGTAATAGCAGTGGCGTACGATGAGTTTCGCTACTGTCATCAATTTTGGAATTTTACTATATAAGTATCCCTTTATATATCTCTATCTCCCTGATACATACACATGCAACCTACCCCTGTGTGTGAACGTTTGTACGGTAAGCTCAAAGGCATACGTTTTCAGTTGTGTGTCTCCGTCTCGAAAAACTTTGTGTTATGTATGGGTGCCCTTCAATCATATTAGTCAGAGTGACAATTTACTTGACATCGGCGTGCAATCTGAGTTGTCCTGTTATCAGCCTTCAATATAAAATTGTACAATGGCCGGAAATAAGATCAATGGAGAAGGCCGACATCTCGTGCTAAATTGATTAGCGTATTTCCAGGAAGAGAATGAAAACAGCGGTCCCCTGTTACCCACTTTATGCGTACTGGAGAGAGTAGCAGATCGGTTTCCCTCAGTTAGGAAGATGAAGATCCGACACGGTACGGTGACTCGATCTGTTTACTTATATCATATGGCGCCAAGAACGGTGACTACAACTACAAGCTTTCTAATACAGGCCTCGTTATCTGTTGCTTATAAAAGCTTATACTCTTCCAATATGATCAACTTGATAATATAATGAAGCTTCAAATGTCAATAAGGTCATACCTTGAGAAATCAATTCGACAGACAGACATGTGTTCTGCGAGGTCTTTGTGAGGTATTTCAGCTTCGCAAATTTCACATGGGATGATTATTTCTGTTGGGGGGTTTCTTCTAGGAGATACATTTCCAGAATGGGATCCTGAACCCACACTTAGACCTAAAATTCATGTAATAATCAACAACAAATGTAGATCAGTGTCTTCACAACTGTTTATCATGTATATATTCCTTCACAAATATAGGTACATATTTTCATATAAAATATTGAACTGAAGCAGTATAAAATATTACTGACTGTAGTATATCTATAATTTTGTAGACCCAAAGGCTAGACGACTAACTTAAAACTTTTCAGCAAATCTTATTTAGTTGATGGGAGCAATAACCTTGCACAAAGGTAAAAAAGCCATACACCATGTTTTAAAAAGATGTGGCTGATTGCCAGATTTATATGTTTTGTATTTGAGAAGGTATTGACCTATCAGTACGGAAGAAATTATCAATGAACTTCAATTTCAAAATGTAGAGTCGACGAAGCGACGAATCCTTAGTTTAGAAAAATAATACGCACTGTACTCAAACACATATCTATGAAATCTGGCAGTGATTTTCAAATTTAATAAAATCAGCCACGCTTTAATTCAAAAACACAGAACAAAATATAAAACTCAAGCTAAGTACTAACACTCGTCAGTTTTAGGATGTTTGATTCTTTCCGGTGATAGTCAATTGAACCATTAGCTTATTATTTATGTTTTCAATAGCATCAATTTTTTAAATTCATACGTTCAAAACCTGTTCAAACTAAACAAAATATTTCTATATATATGTATTAATAAATTGTTACATTATGCTACTAAAATTCATTCTAGTGGTACTGGTTAAAATCAGCTCGCATAAACTTAAAAAATCGCTGTTTTGAAAGTGTTTTTGATCAATATAACGTGATATGGTAACACTGCAATGCAATCTATGTAGGTCTGGCGCAATATGATTTTTGCCATTTTTTCAGAATTCTTTATTAATGCCTATTTATACATGCGATTTGGTTGTGTGAGTGAGACTTCTGTATGTACAGCGACACTATCCCTCAAACTAGCTCTTTGTTTCACAAAAAAACTTAATCCTGATACTATTTTTGGCATGCACTGGTGTAGAAGACAGACACAAAGCAGATAAAAAATCATATTGCATATTGTTAAAATTTGTAATCCGAAATCTGTTGTAGGCACACACACCAAAATAAATCTGAAACAAGTGCTATCACAGGATGAAAAACAAACAGTGTTTTAGTTGCGTAGTAAAAGAAATGGAACATTGTAGAAAACGTGTCTGGATGGATTAATTTGTACGTATATCCAAATTTCAACAAAAGTTCTATTTTTAGATATGATCATATCAGTCCAACATATTAAAATACGTAAAGCTTTGTCACACGGGTGATAGAGATTTGTATTGGGAAATATGCCAAATTCAGTTTAAGGAAAATAAGCTACTTGAAAATGAGTCTAAATTTAAATTATGATTGAACTGATAAGAAACAACGACGGAAATCTTGATAACCTTGAATTATTTCTTATTTTTTACGCTTCTAAACAGTTTTTTTGAGAAATCTGCTATAAAACATGGAGTTCATTACTGGACAGAATTTACCAAAATATTCAAGTCCATAGTCCATTCAGTTTCATATTATGGAAAACTTTTGTAAAAATGTTAGTTCCTTTTATGGCGAAAATGAGTTGTTGAAATCGACGACTGTTATTAAAAGCTATAATGAGCGATTAATGATTGTTAAAAAGCAGTCAAACAGTCAGCTGATAAAAAGTATGGACCTGTATCATGATAGAAATGATTTCTAGGTGAGAGACCGTTACGCCTTAAAGGTGCTGTGATACACGCCGAATCATGGAGTAAATTCCTTATATATTCTGTTTTACCTGGAGATAGATGAAGAAAAATGAACATTAATACAAAAGAGTACTGACGAATCAACTCAAATTAGAGAAATAATCACAGTTATTAATCCTATTATTAGTTATACAAAAAAGTGTGGTATGACCTCACTGCATCTAAAAATCTCAACTGTTTCCTCATTGGTAAAATTATTTTTATCAAAGATCAAGAGCAAACAAATAGTTAATAATAATTTTAATAATCCATACGTTTGATTATTCCTTGATGATTTTCGATAATTAAATCCACAGTTTCACCCTTTATGACAAAAAGTTCATTGTGGGGGGTATCTTGCGTAAAATATTCCTAGTTTTCGTTTCAAGGTACCAGATGTACCCATAGACGGTCAAGATTTAGGTAATCATTAGCCATGATGCATGGTTAATACTTGAAAATTTAGGTGAATAACTCAAAAATGGTTATGGGTTGCTTTTTTGTTATTTCAACCTTCTAAATTATATCTTCATCATCAATGAGGTAAATTCATACCACTTACATTACAGAAATGGGGTTAAATAGTTGCATCAACATCTGCAAAAATGAACATACACTTACAGTCCAATCTTCTAGATATTTCCTTATAACTTTCTCCATCTTTCTTCTTTGGTGCCCCTCCTCGCGTTTGATAGGCCGACGGCAAATATGGCATTGGATCGTAATCAAAGTTTGCCAATGGGTTAAGTGAATCAAGGAGTGGAGACCTTCTTCTGGGAGGAGTGTAATCTGGTACGTCAATGGTTGGGGCTATTCTTGCTGATGTGGAGTCCCAAGAAGTCCGTACCGATGAGTCTAATGAAAACGTTGAAATTTCAAAATTCTCAAGAGCGATCCAGATATGTTTATATGTATGATATACAGGGTGTTCCGAAACTATTGTGCCAAAATTTAGTGGGTGTTAGATCTCACCAAAACAAACGTTTTTTGCTTACAAAACCATAGGCGCGTGCGCCTTGTTTGGGTAGTACAGGTGTCGCAAATGTTGAGTAACAAAAGTCCAGTCCGTAAACGGTATTAATGAAGTTTTATTTATTCTTCTTAATATAAAACAGTGGCAACGTGGCAAGCACGCGTCACGTGCTCCGCGCGTGCAATCTTCGTTTATTTCTACCAATACACTCTTTATTGAAGCACGTCATTAAATTACGTCGCGCCAGTGTTACATCCTAACCAAGGTGCCTTCACTGCGCGGACTCTAATGAGCTATTATCACCAAACCATAGCGCATGCGCCTATGGGTTGCTAAGTAAATAACGTTTCTTTTTACCACCCACTACATTTTGGCACAACAGTTTGGGAACACCCTGTATAGTTCATCCTATTAAAACAAAATAATCCATTCTCGCGGTTCAACAAAATAAAAAAATAGTAAAAAACGAACAAAACTAAAACACATAGGAGAACTGAACTCGATAGAATATCAATATTTCTACAAAAAGCATGTTCTCCGTAGTTTTAAGTTTTATTATAAACATGCAACTTGCTTTCAAAGGTCAAACACAAAATTTCGCTTTAAAGCTGTGACGTAAATAAGTTATAACGTGACGTAATACATTTTTCTACATCCTCAAATATCCAATTTTCTCGGACACTGACAGTTTGACATGAAATGTCACGTTCTATCGGAATATTTTTTCGTATGAAGAGAATATTAGGAAACACGTTTGCTTATTCAAACGTTTTGTAAACTGTTTCTTGGAAAAAGTTTGGAAGTTCATTTTGTGTCAGTCCTTTGCATAAACAACTCCACCGCTTTGAAAACAATAGAAAAACCACAAACTACGAGGTTCATATAATTCGGAACGAGCTTAAAATATGTATATGATTTTGGCGAGCTTACCCCTATTTCTCCTCGCAGAAAGTCCATGATTAGAATCTATGTGAGCCTGCTTATCTTTGAACATAACTAATTGTCCACATTCTAGGCACCTATCAGTTCTGGTACCACAGTAGTTTTCATGCTCCTCTAATTCTAGTTTAGGCAGTTCTAGATCACAAAATTTGCATGCTAACATTCCTGAAGATGGTGTAGATTTTGGTGGGTCAACCTAAGTAAATTATTTCGTATGATCATTTACTATTCACTGCTTATTGTACATTTGAGTTTTTTACCACAGTTACTATAAAGCTCCAGCATTTGAAAGTCTAAATGGCAACACTGTCTCGGCATTAAAACTCTTAGTATTGTGTGAGATTTGGTAAAGAGACAGAAGGTGGACAGTACCTATCCAGCATTGCCATTTACACGTTTACACAATTTGAACACTAAATATACCAACACTTAATACACACCTATTTCTACCATAGCCAGTAAAATGACCAGTTGTAGTAGATAAGGGTACATATACTTATTGTAGCAAGTATTACTCAGAATAAATATGACAGAAATGGAATATTAACTTTAAATAATTAACAGAAAAATTCATAAGTGAACTGTGCGAAAACGATAAGATTATATGCTCATTTTCAATGCGCAAGCTCATAACCGGTATTTTATAACATCTTTACCTTTGGTTTTGATACAGCTCCAGTTTCTTTCTTTACTTCAACATTCTGCTCTCTGGGAATTTCTTGATATTTCTCATAACTATCTCTATCATTTTGAGTTCCTATTCCACTCTGACTTGAAGAAACACTGCTTTGCCTCGAAGATAGACTATATCCATTCTGACTTGAGCTTTGACTATATCCATTTTGAGCACTTTTAGTGCTATGAGAAGAGCCCAAACTATGTCCTGAATCGACGAATCTGGTCATTTCTTTCATGTATCTGTTACGAAATTATGAATATTAGAATTAAGTATGAGTTGAAGGTTTGAATAACATAGGGTTGGAAGTGAAGGAAGTGTTTAGTTATAAACATCCTTCAAAATTGAATATTCAATTTTCAAGAACATCTGTAATACAATTTTAATTTTCTGGAGGAAATGAGCAGTTTAGCTGGGCTTGCCAGGGATTCATGTGTCTAAAATCTTCAGACGGAGAGAGAACATGACTCTAAGGGTCTCAATGCATGAATATGTCCAAGGAACATAGTATGGAGAAAGAAAACATACTATTTGTAAGAGCTCACCCTGAATAAACAGATCAATATTTAATCTGTTTTGTCAAAACATCTAAGGTGAGATAAACTTACCTGTCCTTTCTAGCCTCAGCTTTTCTATCCTCCACTATTTTCTGATGTCTAAAGTAGGGGCTCCGTTCTATATCTGTTGGTGGAGGTGCTGGTAGGGGCTGAGGAGTGTATTTTTGTTTTTTGCAGACCTCTTCATGCTTCTCAAAATTTTGCTTTGATTGAGGCTCTTGGCAGATTTTACATAGCTTTATATTTTTGGAACAGTGGACCATGTGCATGACATAGTTGGGTTGAGGAATTTCTTTATTGCTGAAATATAAAATAGTGATTTTCTTTTATACTAAGTATATCAACAAAATCTAATGATAACATGGAAGCACCAATCTGATTGCTATCATCCGTTTTGAGCTTTCCAAATTCATTTTTACTGAGAATTAGTTCTCATAATGTTCTATAGTGCACTGAAATGCCAGTTCTGTTCGCACAAAATAATGGCAGTTAAATTTTACAGAAATAGAAGAATAAAATTTGTGAAGGTATCAGGGATGTGTATTATTTTTCAAATAGTCATAAAGGCTTTGCTTATCTATTCAGTTATTTCTGCAAATGAGAGACATATTTCCTAAAGCAATAGTGCTCGTCATTCTCACGACATGTTTTTGAATTGCAATAGCTGCCAAAATACAAAAGTTCCAGGGCATTGGGTGGAATATTTTTCTTATGAAGACTGAAATTTTCTGAATATTCATTTGTAGACCATAATATGAACTCTTAGTTTAGTAGTAGGGAATACAATACAACAGATCCTTAGTGCATAAGTAGTTCATCTCAGTATTGTCAGGTGTTTGTCACTGGTTGCTGGTATAAGTTGTTTAATAGAACATTTTAGATCTCAAGCTGCGAATTTATACCATATGTATAGTTTAAAGCTTGGTAGAATACTTTGAAAATGTTGTTAGTTGTGGTCATGAGATGAGCAAACAGTAAACTGGAAAGGCTCTGGTACTAAAATTCATCCAACAATCTTCAAAAGCTCTTATTCTTTGTAAAAACAACATTGGCTGATCAGTATACACTTGATCTGAATATTGTTATATTATTTAGCAGACATCAGGAGAGCACTGAGGGCTCCTTTGTGAAAATTGAAGCCAGAAAAGTTTGCAGTTTGTCTGATAAGTTATTGCCAATTGTTCTCAAGGATGTTTTTCTGCTGTCAATTAATAAGGCTCAGATAGGAGGTGCCATTTGCCAAAGATTTTTATGAAATGTTGGTATTATAGTATTTGCCAGCTTACTCAACCTTACTCTTATCTGTGAGACATGAGGAAGCAAGTATATATAGTGGAAACTGACAGGCAGAAATGCGTTGCCTATTTTCTATCTTGATCTGTGCTGCAAAGGTTCCACACTTCCTGGATATTTAAAATGAACAGAATACTATTGATAAAAATGAGCATAAATGGATGAATCATCGGTAATGCAAAACCTATGGGCATTTTTATAATTATTTTAAGCACTGGATTATATGAAATTTTTTGTAAAATGATCCTTTGTTACAGCAACTACAATTTCTATATTTGGAAATTTGCGTGCGTTGCGAATAAGACAGACAAAAGCAGCTGCGTATCAGGTAACTTCAACATGCGAAATTTCGATAATACTCACCAGTTCCCACAGAGTTCATATTCTACGTGCTCCATAATTCTTGATGTTCTCAATACTAAAATATCAACGAGCTTGGTAGGTACCTAAATCCAATCTTCTAGCAGACGGAAAAGTATGTGGAGCGCAAATGCTACTGCCTTGCTAATTACGATTTTTTCGCTAATCTCGTGTGAATGCACTGCACAACTGCTAACTCTTAACAAAAACGTTCGGTATAAGTTTATTTTTAGAGCGCCGTCCATGAATATGACTATAGTTCTAAAGATATCAAAGTTATTTTTGGAGAAAACGCTGAGTTATCGAATTTTAGCGGCCTACGTATACATAGTCGTGCCATAAGTTCTGTCCCATGATAATCTCATGATAAAAATGAAACAAGATAAGATATATTTATATGAAAGATATTATTTATTCGACAACATTTTTAGAATTCATAATCAAACAGTTTTATTCAAAATGTCCCCCCTTGGCCTTCACACACTGCTTCAATCTCGCGGGCCACTCATCTATCACTGCACGCACAGCTTCCAAAGGAATAGCTGCCGCTGATCGGATCAAATCCGCTTTCAGGGACTCGATATTACGGTGGGCTTTGGAGCAGGCCAACTGCTCTAGCAGGTCCCACAACTTGTAGTCTAAAGGATTGAGGTCCGGACTCCCTGAGGGCCAATCTTCCGCAGCAATGAACTCTGGCACATTGCTTTCCAGCCAGCGCTGCGTACTCTTAGCCTTGTGAGCGGGGGCGGAATCCTGCTGGTAGACCCAGTGTTGGTTGGCAAACAATGTACCACTTAAAGGCTTGACGATAGGATCCAGTATGTCGCTCTGATAGTTTGCCGCTTTTGTTTTCACGCCCTGTTTACAGAAATGGAGCTGAGTGACCCCTTCGTAGGACACCCCCCACCAAACCATGACTGACGCAGGGTGGTGGCCTCTCTCAACTCTCGGAATGATCTCCGAAGCTTCCTGTGAACTCCTTGCATACACTTTGTCATTTTGTCGGTTGAATTTTTCTTCTATGGTGAAGATTTTCTCATCCGTGAACAAAATCTTTCGGAATCCCCCAGCTGCGTACCTCTCCAAGAGCTTCTTGGATCTTGTCGCCCTGATGTGTCGCAAGGTGGCCGTAAGTCGCTGGCCCGTACGTCTCCGGTAAGCCTCTAGCCCTAGGTCTTGTTTAATGATGCGCGACATCGTCCGGACAGGAATCTTCATTTCCCTGGATAGGATCTTCTGCTTCCGGAGTGGATTCCTTTGAATCCTGGCTTTTACGGCTTTGATGGCTGCTGGAGTCCTTACTTGACGAGGTCTTCCGCTTCTTGGCCTGTCATCAACAGAGGACGTCTCATTGTACCGCTGAATGGTCCTAGACACAAATTTACGCGATATTTGAAGGCCGCGTAAGAGTTCAAAAATCTGACTAGCACTGTGATTACACTTATGTAAAGCTATCACTGCAATACGGTTCTCTGCCTTGCCCCACTCCATCGTTATGCTTCGAGAGATCAATACAAACTGAGGTATATGTAATTACCCGAAAAGCGCTTAATCAACTGACACCACAATGTAAACAATCGGACAAGTATTAACAGGTCTACACTTGTTTGAAAACGAGGGACAGAACTTATGGCATGACTACGTATATTCATCTGACGACGACGCGATTTTTTATCGTATATCTGCGCGGCATTGGGAATTGGGCTAGGGATGGCAACGATATATCGATTATTTTTATATACTTATCGATATTTTTTAAAAATATATCGATATATTATAATCGATGATGATTTAAATCAAATAGGCTCGATTTGTTGTTTGAACGTGCTTTATGCACTTCGAGCGATGATCCGAACACACCCCATTGTGTTACGCGGTACGCCAAATGCGGCTGCCATGTGTCATGTCTTTAGTGTCAAAAGTCAATTTGAGTCCACGGTGTACTACTGGGAACCAATACTCAAATTTTCGCGAAGAACGGGAATAGGGGAAGACGGATGTGATGTCGTCTGAATGTCAAAAAATCACGTGGTACGGGTACCGCCTAACTTCTGTGAGGTACTAGAGGGTGACAGGTTTTATGTCAATTTCATTTAAAAAACAGGCATCTCTATTGAAAATTTGTCTTCGCAGTGCCGAAAATTGAGTTAAATTATTAAAAATTAAATGGAGAAACAGGTCCACCTGATTTTAAATGATGAGGGAGAAGGTCATCGAAGATATATGAACCGCACTTGTCATATCAAATGATTGATTTTATTGATATATATGTACATTGCACATAAAACGATCGGTCTTTTTATTTCGGGTTCAAACAATTCTGCTAAGTTTATCTAGGTGCTTAAAGCAAACATTTTGGGCAACTTGCGCCATCTAACCACTCCCGGTGTAACTTGAAACTGTCAAAACTTCGAGAGGAAGGGGAAATTCCATTTGTTCCCGCTCCGGTTCACTACGGGATCTCGCGAGAAAACCTCTACTACTATTTTTTTCTTTTCAATTCAATGAACACATCGTATATAGTAAAGGGTGTCTCAGAAATATTTTCGTTTTTAGATCAGTCCTCTGGCGGAATACGCATGCTCCGGAGAAACGAGACAGTTGACAAACGTTTGGCAACATTGTTAAATTTTAGTTGCAATGGAGCGTTTTACAGGGCCGCAACGTGCTTTTTGTGTTCGCGAGTTCTATAAAAACAAGGATTCTTATGTGCTTGTACGTCGTTTGTACAGAAATCATTATAACATAGCAAGAATGAGAGATGTCCCAAGCGCAAATTTAATTAAATATTGGGTAAGAAAGTTCGAGAGCACTGGAAACACGTGTATTAGTAAACCGCCTGGACGGCCAAGGTCAGCAAGATCGAACGAAAATATTGAACGTGTGCGCCAGTCCGTCAACGAGGATTCCCGGCAATCATTAAGACTGCGTGGAGCGTCTCTAACTTTGCATAAGTCAACTGTTCATCGCATTATTCGCAAGGATTTGCATTTTCACCCATACAAGATTGTTGTTACACAACAATTAAAACCACAAGATCCCGCTAATCGATTAGAGTTCTGTAGAACAATGAGAGAGCATTTTAACGGTTACAACAACATATGGTTTTCTGATGAATCGAATTTTCACATTAACGGGCATGTTAATAAACAAAACTGCCGATATTGGGCCGAGCAGAACCCGCAAAATCTTCATGAGACGCCATTACACTCGCCTAAAGTTATCGTCTGGGCTGCTATGTCAGGGCAACGAATCATTGGCCCGTATTTTTTTGAAGACAATCGTGGCCAAGCTCAAACTATAACATCTGAGCGCTACTGCCACATGATTAGGACTTTTTTAACTCCAGCTATACAGAACCATGGTGGCTACAATAGAAACACGTTTTTCCAGCAAGATGGAGCGACTTCTCATGTCACGAATGAATCCTTGGATGCTCTTCATCAGTTATTCCCAGAGAGGGTCATCAGTCGCAGAGGAGACATTAACTGGCCACCGAGAAGTCCCGATTTGACACCAGCAGATTTTTTCTTATGGGGATACCTGAAGAGTAAGGTATACACCCCACCGCCACAAGATTTGAGAGAGTTGAAGCAAAAAATAACAGATGAAATAAACGCCATTCCTCGAGCAATGCTTCGGAGAGTGATCGAAAACTTCAGTTCGAGATTAAGAGAGTGTGAAAACATGAACGGTGCTCATTTATCCGATACTCTTTTCCATAAATAAAATTAATGTTTAGGCTTTCGTTTGGTAATAAATTTATCTTTGTAAAAATATTCTAAGTATTTTTATTTATGGCATAAAATAAGAAAATATTTATGAGACACCCTTTATATAACATAACATACATATTAACTTGAAAAAATTATCGATATATTCAAAAATATCGATATTTTCAATCCGATATATACTGGATATATCGATATATTGCCATCCCTAATTGGAACCCAAAGTACCAAAGTAGTCATGTGTCGTTCACGAACGAGTCGTTCAAAATGAACGACTCGTCTATGTGAGCGATGATTGAACGACTCTTTTCCCAGTTTCCCACTAAACGTATATATTGAAGCACCAGTGTTGCCAGATATTTAGTTACAAGTGTAGCCAACTTAAATGAAAAAAAGAGGCACATTGCAGCCAACTTAAACGTAAAAGTAGCCAAATTGTAAATATTGTAACCAAGCGTTTGGCAGTTGACTAATCATATGTAGTCCAGGGTACAGAGACCTATCGATCCCATCGGTGACTAAATATCTATCTCAGGGTAGGTGCATAATAAAATAATATAGCCCCCACGAAAACAAAATTAAAATCACTAAAATAACTAACAAAAACATCCGTACAGTAAACTTAACTCTCTTAACACATTAGTGGTATGTTATCATTATATGGTTAAAACATAAAACTATACATATACCATATACCCATACCTTTTACTTACAAAACATAAAATAATACCAACTCAAATAGGTATCATCACAGTAGGTAAATTCAAAGTTTACATCATATATCAGTACAGCAAGCTTAAATTTTTCTGAACACTTTCACATTATACAGGGTTATCCAAATTAAGTGTCCACCATTAGTAACTTTGTTATTAGTGAAAATACAAAGTTGTTTGAATTAGCAAACTAGTAGCATTTTTAACGCTGGTAAAAATGAGAAATAAAAAAAAAACAATTGAGAGTCGTTATTTTGATTTTTTTCAGTAAAATAACATTTTTTTAAATGGAAACCCCTGTATATTATATTTTTTCTGTTAAAGCATCAAATTTTAAACAAAAAAGTTCATAATGACTTTTCCGCTAAAGTCAAAATAACGATAAATATTTTTAATTATTTGCAGTATTATAATATTAAGACGGCTATGAAAACAACATGGCGTTCGCGATTTGACAGCATTAAGATAAGCGACAAATTGTTAAACTGGACATACTCGCAACTAGAAGGCTTTGGAAAACAATGATAAAATCAAATAATGTCAAACATTAGTGTAAATACTTGTTTATAAGCTTTATTGTGTCACTAATTTAAAGAAAAATGTTCTCCCATGAAGAAAAGTGTGATATGTTAGAATGCTATTTAGTGTGCAGAAAATCCTCCTTGAGAGCAAGAGAATACTACAGTGAATTATATCCCGCTCGCATTCAACCGTATGAACGATATTTTCTGAGACTTTATCGAAAATTTAGGGGCAACGAAAATGTTTTTGCTAAAACAAGGGCAAAAAAAGAATTCATAATAAGCGAGGCCACGGAAATTGCAGTTATTGGATATTTTGAAGCTTATCGTGAGAATTCAATAGCAGATATTCTCAAGGACTCTAATTTCAGTTATGGTACTGTTCAAAGGATTTTAAAAAAATACAAATTTATTCCGTATAAGTACCGACCAGTTCAAACGCTTTTGGCAGGGGATCCAGAGAGAAGACTTGTTTTTTGCCATTGGTATCTTAGCTTCTGTCGCCAAAATGTAAATAACTTTCGTTACCTTTTATGGACAGATGAATCAAATTTTTCAAATTCTGGAATGTTTAATAGAAAAAACCACCATTATTGGTCAAGAGAAAATCTTTTGTTAGTACATCCAAGAGGCCCACAAGTCCGTTTCAGTTTCAACGTTTGGTGCGGTATAATTGGTTCAAAAATTGTTGGCCCGTTCTTTTATGAGGGAACCCTAACTGGTGAAAGATATGTGGAATTTATGTCAGAAATTCTGACTAATTTCTTAGACGAATTGGATCTTATAAGTAGACATCATCTGCATTTTCAGCAAGATGGCGCACCTGCCCACAACTCCAGAGGTACTTATCATTTTCTAAGTACTACTTTTAATGATCAGTGGATAGGAACAAATGGCCCAATACAGTGGCCTCCCAGATCACCAGATCTAAACCCACTTGATTACTTCTTGTGGGGTTACTTAAAGAACCAAATTTAGAAGCGAAGGTACGATAACCTTGACGCGTTAAAGACTGCAGTTAGGGAAAAGATAACCCAGATAGATGGTAGGACCATACTTAAGACAGTTCGAGCAGTTGAAAAACGTGCCCAAAAATGTATTGAAGAACAAGGTGGTGTTTTCGAGCATTTTCTTTAAAAAAAATTGTTATTGTATTTTGTAAGATTATAAGTTGATGTTGAAAATAAAGTTTGTCGATATAATTTAATTGTTTCAGATTGGAGGCCATAACTTCAACAATTTGTAACCTAGGAGAAAAGTTATTGTAAGCTTTTTGGTTTAAAATTTGATGCTTTAACAGAAAAAAATATAATATACAGGGGTTTCCATTTAAAAAAATGTGATTTTACTGAAAAAAATCAAAATAACTACTCTCAATTGTTTTTTTTTATCTCTCATTTTTACCAGCGTTAAAAATGCTACTAGTTTGCTAATTCAAACAACTTTGTATTTTCACTAATAACAAAGTTACTAATGGTGGACACTTAATTTGGATAACCCTGTATAACTCATATCGTCGTCCATACCGCAGACAGGCGTATCTGACAAAAAATCAAATTCGAGTTAACGGATTCAAATCAACAAGGTATAGCATATCTTCAATCCCGCAAAGTGGCGTAACGCTAAGTAGTTCGCTCATAGAGATATCAGCATAAAACTAAACGTCGTATCTCTCAGAAATGAAATACAATACACCGCAAATAGGCGTAAATGAAGATACGCCTACATGCGGTGTCCATTTTTTGCTACTCTCTCAGTGGTAACTAAGATATGTCCTTTTGACTTACAGAATACATTTTGTCCGAATTGAGTCACACCTCATCTGAAAGCGATCCCTTTGCTGCAGCCGAGATTTATAACCCGGAAGATCCGGACTATCATCAAACTTGTGAAGTTAAAAGCTGTAAAGGAGATGTGTTCAGTTCCTGCTTTCAATGCTCAATTTTGTTATGTTGGAAGCATTTTGAGGATGATACCCTATCCTGCCAGGACGGACACAGGACAGTACAGAGCAGTGTACTTAGCAAAGAGAAACAGGAAGAGAGGCGCCCTGAAGATTTTTTTGTAGAAGGTTCCCAGGCAGAAGGTGATAGGAAAAAAAGTCAAAGAAGATAAAAGAAGAATTGCAAAAACGTTGAGGAATCAAGGCGAAACATATATTTCGCCTGTAACTAAGAAAATTGTGAAGGAGAAAGCGCTTTTGTATTATCTGAAAACCCAAAACATAGAACTACAAATAGCAATGCTCCACGCCGTTAGCAAACACATTATTTTTTCTTACCTCTAGAAGGTATCCGACAATTAGTTTGTTAAAAAATGTTCCTTGGGACCCTTGGGATAAGTGAGAAAGTTTGCAGAACCGCAATAAAGAAACTGAATAGAATAACGAGTGTGCTAGAAAAAGAAAATCGTGGAGGTCGACGGGAGTTACAATCATCAAGAGACATAGTCATTAGAAAAAGTATTATAGAGCACATAAATAGGTTCCCCAGAGTAGAGTCACATTACTGCCGGAAGTCCTCAACTAAACAATACCTACATGAAGATTTATCTCTGAGTACAATGTATCACATGTACAAACTGGAAGATCAACAAACAAAGGGAAGTGTTTCTTTGTATAGAAAAATTTTCAGATCCATGAACTTCTCATTTCACAAACCAAAAAAAGATCAATGTGGTCTTTGCAAGTGTTACAGAGAAGGATCGGAAGAAGTAAAGGCTAATTTGGAAAAGGAGTACTTGGCCCATATTTTAGAAAAGGAAACGGTAAGAGAAATAAAGAATAGCTGCAAAGAAAAAGCTAAAAATGATACAAAGGTGCTACGTTTGATCTCCAACAAGTTATATACTTAAAAATTTCTAATCATTGTTCCGTATTTTATAAAACACGGCTTGCTGTTTACAATCTAACTATCTATGAAGTAGCATCTCGAGAATGTTTTTGTTATACATGGAGTGAGACTGAAAGTAAACGTGGTAGCTCGGAAATATCGACTGCTGTTTATTTATTTATTTCCGAAAAACACAAACAATGTTGCAATACTGTTGACTTATTTGCTGATGGTTGTAGTGGCCAAAATAAGAATTCGATAATGGCTACCACTCTTTTATATCTTGTCAGTAATTGCTCAAACGTTAAAGAGATATCGTTAAAAATTTTTGCCTCTTGTCGTGGACAAAATGAAGGCGATTCAGCACATAGTGCAATAGTTACGCTTTGAAAAATGCAGGTGAAATTATTGTGCCGAGCCAGTTATTGCCAGTCTATGCATTAGCAAGGAAGAAACAGCCATATAAGGTTCGTCCCTTAGACTATCGTAATTTTTTTGACCCCAAAAAACTCGCATCAGACTTAAGAGTATTATCTATTCGAAAAGATGATAAAGACATGGATGTGAATTGGAAAAATATGATGGAATTCAATGTGACAAGTGATAATTGCAACAAAATCTATTTCAAGACTAGCCATAAGCAAACAAACTACAGGTCCATAACCTTGAAAAGAAATGTTTCCGATATTTTAAAAAAAAGAGCTGTCTCCTCTGAATAGCGACCTATGAAAAATCACAAATAAAAAATATAATGATTTGACCTCACTTTGCCAAGGCGATAGGCCTGCCATCACTCTACCAGAACATCAACGTTTTTATGATTCACTACCTCATGAGGACCAGCCATAAATGTTTTTGTATGAAATCATCTTCTTATTTTTGTTCTGTAATATCCTTGAGTTGCTTGAGTATTACTTACATCTGAGAATAAGGTGTTTTTTTTATTTAATCTAATTTTATTCCATATGGAGTGAAAGGCGTATCTTCAAACCGCTAGACTATTGTAATTGTCAAGGTTACCGCAAAGAGGCGTATCTGGAAAAAAAAATATAAAAAAATTTTTAGCTGAGAATATGAATTTCCTTTCCTCTATATACTTCTCAGAAGATGATTAACACACTATTTAGCTATGTTATTGGAAGAAATTATGCTCATATTGTCTAAAGTAGTAAAGATATACGACATCAAATAACTGTCGATATTCATTTCGCTTCTACTGAAAATTTATATAAAATCAGTTACGCCTGTTTGCGGTACGGACGACGATATATTCTCAAAAATAATTTTATTCAGTTAGACTAATACAAGGTAGCTATGTCATAATTTTCGACTTCAAGTTTTGCGCTAATCTGGAAGTACTCTGAGTGTCCTCAGTTTCAAGCTTCAAACTTTTATCCGAGTCACTTTTTTGAAATGTATATGTATTTGACGTGTAGGCTCGAATCTCTTACCAAACATCTTGTTAAGAAGCGAGAAAATGACAAATTGTTGACAATTTGATGTGGGGGAAATTTATCAATCAAGTTGGCTCCATGTGATATATACGGTGAGATTTTGTTTCCATTTTCATCTCATCGTATACGTATACTGAAGTTGAAGAAGGTGGAACACAGCGTTGCCAGATGGATCAAACATAATTTCCCCAGCTTTTTTAAAATAATCCGCCAAATCATATTTCACTTTTTATTATTTATTTTGAAATCCAATCTCAAATAGTCAGGAAAACATTAAAGTTAATTTGGGATAAATCTTATATGCGAAAAATGACTATCTGATAATTTCAAGACCTACCTAGGAAATTCTGCTTTTTTCAAATAACAGGTTTGGCAATGACAATGTATGACGTATTATACATTTTTGGAATCAGAATTAAAAACTGTATTCATATGTGCAAAAATCCAATATGGCGTCTATAAGAAAAAATAAAGTCGATGCTGGAGGACAAGAGATGAAACCCCATATTGAAATTCTAATTATCCTTTCGTGTAAATGAGAAGATGTGGTAATGTGCAATGCGCAATTTATTTTGAAATCCCACTAGAAATAAAGTCAGGAGAAAATTAAAACGATTTTGGGAAAATTCTGGTTTCTCGGTCTCTCTCCAGAAGTACTTTGAATTACGAAACTTTCTAAGCGGCATTTTGTTGAGTACCTATAAATACGCAACTTTGCCCCCTTTTAAGCGACTTCATATTTCTTACAGTTTCCGAGATCCTAATGGCGAGGGTTAAATTTGAGACACCCTGTATATACCAGTCTTTTGAAAACAAATTGCAAATTTGGGTGTTTGAGGGAGGCGGCGATAACAGCCCACACACTGGGAGGATACGAAGGGAAGCAACGTGTCACGTTTGCCACGTGCAAGCAGTGTTGCCGAACCGAAAAAGACGAAAGTGGTAGATATTGCAGTTGAAATTTGGTAGATTCAAGGACAAAATCAGTAGAAGAAAAAAAATCAGGGCCGTCGCAAGAACGGCGATGGTTTAAGGGCCTTTGCGTCACACAGCACCGTTTATGAAGAAAAGATATAGTTTTGTTTTGCACGCACAACACAGGTTTTTTGAGGCCATCCTTTCATGGAAAAACATTGATTTTTTTATTACAACTTATAAAATGAGCATACTGATCGCTCTTCAAACTCCTTTGCAACCATCCTGGAAACTGCTTTCTTCATTCTTGGTTATAAGATTTTGAAGATTTAGTTTTACTTATGAACTTATAGCTTTGTCATCTTGCTTGTCCGGTAATACGGTGATGATGATGGTGATCTACCAGTCTGTATCTGTTGTGTGCACAAAAACCAATACAGGGAAAGTAGAGTAAGGGATGTAGTACGTACATAATTGTAGGCAACCCAAACCTAAGTCCCTAGTGTGGCTGACTATCTAAGTGTACGCAAATGTATGATTAGTATGCTATATTTTTGGTTTCAGCTCTTTTATGGTAAACAAACTATGAAAATATCTGAGTTATTCTGAAAAATCGTGGAAAATGAGGACGTTTTCGGTAAATAAGATCCACCGAAAAATTGGTACGTTCGGCAACACTGCGTGCAAGTGACAGATGTCGCCGCGGTTCTCTACGCGTCGCTTCTCTTCATATCTCTTTTACACGTACGGTTTTTCCGGTAGTTTTGGCGCGTGCTCTCAATCCAACAAACTGTGTAAACGCTTGGCTGCTCTCGTAGGTGGATTGCGGTTTGGACTGCCAATATGGAACTCGAGGAGCGCGGGTCAGGGAGCATTTACACAGACATCTTTGTATTGTGATCTGACTTCTTTCGTAGCGGTTCTTAAACATGACAACGAAACAGTGGAGCCCAGTGCTGCTAGATAGAAAAATCTGAAGACTATAGAGACATTACGTTTAAAAAGCGGTAGTATCAGAAAATGAACGGTAGATATCAAAATTTTGGGAGAGGGTGTTTGCTTGAACAGCGCTTTTGAGCGCTGTCACCGAACGAATGCCATTGGTGGCTGTTAAAGAGTTACACGCACATGCTCCAATAGAAAAAATCACTGGCAGCACTGCTGGGATTTTGTGCTAAGATGTACGGTTTTGGCTTGTATGCTCCAAATGTATAAATTCAGGAGCATTCCAGGTACGCTGCCACATATTTTCTGCAACTTGCCAAGGGCTTACGCTCCAAGTATGCACGCCACGCCAAATTTCAAGTAACCATTACAAAAAAACTGTCCGTGAACGTGTAAACCTAAACCGGGGTACTGCGGCTGCTATAAGGAACTTGTTAATCCCTTTTTCGAATTGCCTAAGGTTAGAGGAACTGGGAAAATACTCCTCAGGCAGATTGTTCACAATATCGACACCCTGAGGGCAAAGGAGCGGCCATACCGGCCAGCTCTGAATGTACGAAGTCTGACACGGTTAAGAAGGGAGTCAGGCAGGGGTCAATGGCAGGCTCATCGTGCGATGGCCTCATGGAGGAGAGCTCTGAAGAGCAAAGCCCTTTTACAAAGCGATAGAAGAATGGCCGAATATTTAATCTGTAGATAATTACTCGCTTTGCAAGCGATCTGGGTGGTTCTGTAGAAATAAACAGTAGGTTCCTGAAATCCAGAGTGTGGCCCCAGCATTACTCGATCGTGTTTGAAAAAAATAAGACGTTTTTCTTATACCAAAGCAGCCGCATAGGCAGAAGCTTCAATGCACCGCGGCTGCCATGAGGAGCTTGAAGACACAGTGTTGAAACGATTTCCGAACTTCCTAAGGTTAGTAGAAGTAGAACTGAGAAAAGTCTCGTCGGGCAGATTGGTCCACAATCTC